CTCGCAAGGTGCGGTGTTTCGTTCTTCTGCTCTTAGTTCTTACATATTACTCATTCGTTTAAGAAAAAGAAAAAAACAGTTAAAAAGTTTGGTTTAAAAAAAAATAAAAAAATCTCTGTAATCAAACTGTTTTGGTTGTGTGTGAGAGCCGAGAGGGTATTGGAAGTTGGAGTCTTTGTTACTTGATGATGGCTGGTAATGTAGAAAATAATATAGAGGTGAGTTCAGGATTGAAAATTTTCAGTTTTGTGTGCTGAGTAATGTTATGCGGAATATTAGTTGGTTTTCTGTAGGATGGTTGGCTTTAGTTTTGTGTTTTAGTTGTCAACTAAGTGCTTAATTTGGATCTAGTTGGTTTTAAGAAGCTCCATATTGCTGGAAAATTTATGATGAGGGAATGGAACTCAAGTGGTAAGGCAGGGTAGCACTCCTTATTTTGGGTCTAATTTGTTTGCTTGGAAACAGGTTGTGAAGCTAAAAGCCTTCTCTAAGTTCGAAAATACATCGGAAGCATTGTCAGCAGCTACTTTGTTGATTGATAGTAAGCCAAGCAAAGGGCTGCGCAAGTTTTTACGCTCTCATTGTGATGGTGATACTCTGGCTGTAGCTGATTCGAAGCTTGGAAATGCAATTAAGGAGAAACTGGTCTGACAATTACCCTTGTCTAGATCTTTGGTAGCTTTTGTTTCCTCTAATCTTAAACAAGTTTTTGCGTGCAGCAAATTGACTGTGTGCACAACAGCACAGTCATGGAATTGATGAGAGGATTGAGGAATCAGTTAACTGAGCTGATAACTGGTCTAGGTGTTCAAGATTTGGCTCCAATGAGCTTGGGTTTATCTCACAGCCTTTCAAGATACAAGCTGAAATTTAGCCCTGACAAGGTAAAATTGCTTTGTAATTTGCCACTCAGTATTTGTTTTGAATGCTTCTTGTAAGCTGCATCTGGTTACCCTTATTTCAACCCAGTAAATGGACTATATACAACGTATCTACTAGAGTGGTGCAACTTTGGGCCAATGAATTTCAATGCTGATTTCTATTGGAGTCTTTATTCATTTGGTGCCATCATTTATGCTGTATTCTTTCTAGGTGGACACAATGATTGTCCAGGCCATCAGCTTGTTGGATGATCTTGATAAGGAGCTAAACACTTATGCAATGAGAGTTCGAGAGTGGTATGGTTGGCATTTCCCTGAGCTTGCAAAGATTGTACAAGACAATATTCAGTATGCCAAAACAGTGAAGTTGATGGGTGACCGTACAAATGCTGCAAAGCTTGATTTTTCTGAGGTTCTTTCTCCCCTCAATTTATTATCTTTCATTACATTTAGAGTTGTACTATAAGTCAGGCTAGGTTCATATTTAGAAGAGAACTGTGAATCTCTTGTCAGATAAACTGTTTGATGGTCTTTGTACTAGATGACGTGTGTTTCTGCAAAACCTTGATATGTATGCTATGGATTTGCTTCTTTTTCCATAATAACTATCATATGGTGTTCAACAGATGGCCTGCACCTCTGGATTAGGTTCTTCATGCTAGCTACCTGATTATGACCAGCAATTTATATTCCTTAGTGCATTTGACTTTTGGTTGAGTAGGTAGTTGATTTTTGCCGGGGTGTAATTTGTCCGAGCCCAAAGCAATACATATTTGGGATTTTGGAAATGATATTGGCAGTTTCTTTTGATTTTGGAAAATGTTTTCATTGTATTATGATGTAATGAGAACCTTCATTTAAATATTTTCTTGAAATGTTAATAGATACTACCTGAAGAGGTTGAGGCAGAACTGAAAGAGGCAGCAATGATTTCCATGGGAACTGAAGTTAGTGACATTGATCTGATGAATATTAAAGAACTATGCAATCAGGTTATCTCTTTTTCAGAGTATAGAGGACAGTTGTATGATTATTTGAAGAGCAGGATGAATACCATTGCTCCGAATCTCACCGCTCTGGTTGGAGAACTTGTTGGTGCTCGTCTTATTGCCCATGGTGGTAGCTTGTTGAATCTTGCAAAGCAGCCTGGAAGCACAGTTCAGATACTTGGCGCAGAAAAGGCTCTCTTCAGGGCTCTGAAAACGAAACACGCAACTCCTAAATACGGGCTAATATACCATGCATCATTGATTGGTCAGGCCGCACCAAAACATAAGGGTAAAATTTCACGGTCTCTTGCTGCCAAGACTGCTTTGGCAATTCGATATGATGCTCTTGGAGATAGCCAGGATAGTACTATGGGATTGGAGAACCGGGCCAAGGTACTATGGATGTTTTATCTTTTTAGGATAGGGATCCATGCCCCCTCTTAGTCTCTTGTAGTATTCCAATCTTATGATACATCTTTTGCAGCTTGAAGCACGGTTAAGAAACTTAGAAGGCAGAGATTTGGGTCGTTTAGCAGGCTCTGCTAAAGGGAAGCCCAAGATAGAGGTTTATGATAAGGATCGTAAGAAAGGTCCCGGGGCATTGATAACTCCAGCTAAGGTGTGCCTCCCTATTCTACCTGGAAATTTTGTTCTGTAGATTCTGCTTCGTTTGAGTTATTGACTTGTCTTTTCTTTGTAGGCTTACAACCCTGCAGCAGATTCTGTTCTCGGACATACTGAGCCGACCGCTAATGAAGATGAGCCGGAGCTAGAAAAGATGGATGCAGAAGCGGTTGAAGAGGCCCCCGCCATTGAGGAGGAGAAGAAGAAGAAAAAGAAGAGAAAGGAAGCAGCTGTGGCAGAACCGGAAAGCGAAGAGGTAGGGAAGAAGGAAAAGAAGAAAAAGAAGAAGCATGCAGCTGAAAGTGAGGAAGTGCAGAACAATGACGAAAATGCCGAAACGGGAGAGAAGAAAAAGAAAAAGAGAAAGCACGCAGAGGCTGAAGAAGAAGAAGAAGAACCCGAATCAACCAAGAAAGATAAAAAGAAGAAGAAGAAGAAGACTGCAGAATAACTACTGTCACGGTAAACACTATCTGCAATCTCTGTGCTGTAACATTGTGTGCATTGTCGCATTATCAGGTGTAGGAATTTCTACAGTTCTATTGCGTTTTGTGTTTCCTGGGTCCAAGTTGGAAGAGAATTACATGTTATGAGATTAGTTTAGTTGGATCAAGGAGACAATAGCATCTGCTGCAATGGCTCTTATCTCCTTTATATTACAATGTATGAATTCAAGAAGACCTTCAATGGATTGTTAGCATTTTCAACTAGGGGTTTCATTTCCCTGCTTTTCATATCCTAACCAAAGTAAGTCCATGTGCCAAATTGTGATAATTTTTTTTTGTTCTGCTGCTAAAGTTACAGTAGGATACTGTCTCTATATATTGTATTGTGTGGATTTGCATTGAGTACAAGGTACAACCAATCTAATTATGGATTGTTGTGCTTAGTGCAAATCATGATGTATATGGATAGTTGTATATATAGGATTAAGATGACATGATAACTTGTTTTTAAAAGAAAGTTAAAAGAATCAAATCTCAGTTAAGGAGAGGGGGAAAATGCATATTCTGGTAAATAATTTGACACTAAAGTGCAACATTATGTGTGGTTCATGTTAGAATATGTTGATCTGATTCGATTGAGAATCTCCCTAGGTGAGAATCACGTAGTGCCTTCTATAAAATTATTTTTCATTAATTTTTAACCTTTAATCATCATAGATGGATAAATCATATTTGTTCGTAGTTCTCGCATTTTTGAACTTAAAAGCACAATCAAGCATATTTAAATGCAAGTTATTATAGAAAGTTATAGTTTCCATTGTTGATCTGAACTTCCTTTCTAAATGGATTGTCACATTCGTTTTTTGCACGCTTTTTAAGTTAAAAAAATAAATGATATATATATATATATATATATATATATATTTTTTGTTACTTTGTTCAAAAGAAAGTAAGTGCAATACAAAATTTATAAATGTAAATTGAGAAAAGTAGTATGATGGTGATGTTTAATTTTAAAAATTGGGATAAATTAAAAAGGAGAGTATGACAAATAAAATAAAATTTATTTAAATTTTTATGTACAAATATTGTGTGCAACAAATAAATATTTCCCTGAAAGACAGCTACCACAGATAAAGCCAAAAAATGGATTAGATATGACGTTGATGTAGGTTCCTAGCTATTCTGATTATCAAATTATGGGTACGCTTTTAATCTCGGCGCACATCAGTATTTACCAACATTTTTTATCGGTCAAATTTTATTCTTTTAACATATAATACAAATTATACATATTAAAATATATAGTACCTAAAGGTGGGTTTGAAAATTCAGAAAATAATTTTTAGATTTTTTTTTTTTAATATTTAGATATTTAAATAAAATTAAATCAAAGGAAAATATTTATTCTGATCATGATCAAAATGTTTAATTAGGTAAAAAATGTTTAAGGTATACTTTGTATCGTGAATCATGGTTTAATATAACATTTAAATTATCCGTATATATAGTTCACACATTATGTGCTTGCAATTAACAGATTATACATCTATAAATAATTATAGACACATAATATGTTAACTACATCCACATTATTATATATTAAGTGCAGACATATAATATGTAATTTAATATATTATGTATTTACAATTAACACATTATGAGCATTTAATATATTTATAAAGACGTAATTTATTAATGAAAGACACATAGTACCTTAACTGTAGACTTATAATTCTTGAGCAATGGTCCACCGTACAAAATGTACCATGACCCATGGTATAACAATTGCCCCTTGATAGGGTTGACCTATTCCCACCTGATAAAATTTTTTCTGGACCAGGATCAACGCAATTATGTGGATCATAAATACAATGTACATTTTTTATATACTAAAAGTATATTATTTATATATTGAATGCACATTATTTGATAATATACAAAATAATATATTTTTAGTAATCAAATATTTAAAAAGTATTTTTTTTATTATTTATGATGTATATAGCTGGTACATGGAATAATAAATTATTCCACCCCAATGACCCCATTGTGTTTTATGTATGATGTCGCTCCTGTTTTTGTTCCTAGGGGAAAACTAGAAACATCAAGGTTGATACGGCTCTGATCTTGAAGATAAGCTTTGTGGAAAAACACGTAAGATTGTTGGTTGAATGAAAGATGTTTGGATAAAGTTTGGGACAACCTGATAATAGAAAAGAAATTCTTAAAATTTATTTTCAGTCTTAAATTCTTGATGTTCTGATTTTGTTATGATGGGCACGAAAACACATTGGGAGTTGGGATTTATGAAGTTCACGGGTTGTTTCTCTCGTGAACATGAAGATCCAACAATTTGATTATTTGAAAGAGAAATTAAGTTTTGGGTCCGTTTTCTTTAATTATTTCTATCATCTTTTATTTTCATTTTGCGCAGACAATTCCAAGGAATCTGCAGTGGGTCGGGTCTGTGTCTGTTTCCATCTTTCTTCATCATATCATCTCTCTTTTGCCGCCGCCACCACTCGATCGGTTCGGTGAGGTTCAGATCACTGCATGCACCCATTTGCTTGCTAACCACCCACCAAAGGTTTCCATTCATCTCCTCTCATCTTTTTCGTTTTCTTGCATATTTTCTTAATCATTTTGGTGTGTTTTTTCCCCCACAATGATAATTCATTTTATCATTGGGGAATTTCTGTGTGTGATCTATTCTCTTTGTGCTGTGGGATCATCAAAAAGTTCAAAACTTTGTTATCTCTTTCAAAATTACATCATACATCATGGATAATATATATGATAATGCTAGTAATTTTTATTTTTATTTTTTCAAATTGATGGACTTGTTATTGGAAAAAGGTTAGTATTCATGCTGTTAATTCTATTTGTAGTGTGTAGTGTTTGTTTATTGTTTTTGTTTGTGATTCCTTGAAGCTATTATGGGTTCAGTCATCAATTCTGAAGAGTAACAATGATAATTTGTTTGAGTGTAGAGTAGGTATTATTATTAATTCAAGAACATGGAGACCATTACCAATGTGAAGGAATATGAAGTGATTGCTAAGGAGAAATTGCCCAAAATGGTTTATGATTATTATGCCTCTGGGGCAGAGGATCAGTGGACTCTCAAGGAGAATCGAGATGCGTTTTCTAGGATTCTGTAAGCGTATTTCTTTAATTAGCTCACTTATTTCATAGGGGAATTGATCCAAGTGCCTCTCATTCCCCTCAAAATCCACTCACAAATGACAAATTCCTTTCTTTCGACTCTGAAATTGTAGATTTCGACCACGGATTCTTATTGATGTGAGTAAAATCGATACGAGCACAACTGTTTTGGGATTCAAGATTTCAATGCCCATAATGGTGGCTCCCACAGCTATGCTAAAAATGGCTCATCCTCAAGGTATATATCATATCCCCATTATATACCTCTATACCCGGTTTTCCTGGTATTTGCTCAGCGTTTATTATGATGCATGCAGGAGAATTTGCGACTGCAAGAGCATCTTCAGCTGCCGGGACGATAATGGTTATATATGCCTCTCTTTTGCCCTTTCGTTTTTTAAAAAAATGTTGTTCCTGCTTAACTGGCTAAGAATTCCTATGATTGTACTATTATGATCTCGATTGAGGTTGTTACTGTCTAACATGGATTGTCTGATTCCGTGATTTTAGACTCTGTCTTCATGGGCTACTTCCAGTGTTGAAGAGGTTGCTTCCACAGGACCTGGGATTCGATTCTTCCAGCTCTATGTAAGTTTAAATGTTACGTTTCATGATTTGTACAAGGCCTAGTAACGGTGGAGTGTTCAGATCGAGTTTCTTCTTTTCATTCAGGTGTACAAAGACAGGAATATCGTCGTGCAGCTACTGAAAAGAGCTGAAAGGGCTGGTTTCAAGGCAGTTGTCCTAACGGTAGATACACCGATTCTTGGGCGAAGGGAAGCCGATATTAAGAATAGGTATGCAAGAATAAAGTCATTTGAATCGAATATTTTGAAACCGTGGTTATACATACATTGTTCCCCCCGGACAGGTTTATTTTGCCGCCTCACTTGACACTGAAGAATTTCGAGGACTTGGACCTCGGGAAAATAGATAGGGTGAATATCGGATCTATCCTTTGAAAAATGCACATACATTTCGTTGTTTTTAGACCATTGATTGATGCTCAAATCGCTAACATTATATTCTGCAGACTGATGAGTCTGGACTTGCTTCATACGTTGCTGGCCAAGTTGACCGATCGCTTAGCTGGAAGGTTGGATACGCAGTTTAAAATCGATTTTCAATCACAATCGAATTCGAAGTGCTCTCATCTCATCTTGTTTGGAATTTTGGACAGGACGTGAAATGGCTTCAGACAGTAACCTCACTACCAATTATCGTGAAGGGCGTGTTAACTGCAGAGGATGGTATGGATGATCGATGATATATATATTAAGATTCAATTGCCATGATATATATATATATATATATATATATATATATATATATATATATATATATATATATATATATATATATATATGATTTTTACATATTATTCTGCTCGTGTCTTAATACGTTCAGCGAGGATAGCAGTGCAGAACGGGGTAGCAGGAATTATTGTATCAAACCATGGAGCTCGGCAACTAGATTACTCTCCTGCTACTATTATGGCCTTAGAAGAGGTTCGTTTGCAATTCTAAGCATGGTGTGCCTGTTATAACTCTTATAATTTCTCGTAGAAATCTTAACAGCAACTAACCCCCTTCCCTTTTTGTATTCCGGTATTATTGCTGTACGTGTTTTCTGTTAACTGAAACAAACATTGTAGGTCATTAAAGCTGTGCAAGGCAGAGTTCCGGTTTTCTTGGATGGAGGGGTTCGACGAGGAACTGATGTCTTCAAAGCGCTAGCCCTCGGAGCATCTGGCATATTTGTAAGTGGATATTTGCCTTAATTAGCTTCTCACGATATTTCATCGTCCATCGTCTTTTTGATCTCTTCATATCATTAAGAGGCTTGAAGGATGCGTTATTTCATCTGAACTAAAAGTTTAAGCTGACACTGAGACTGCACGTTTTTATACGGTTGCCAGATCGGAAGGCCGGTAGTGTTTTCGTTGGCTGTTGATGGGGAGGATGGAGTGAGAAAGGTTTTGCAGATGCTTCATGACGAGTTTGAGCTGACGATGGCTTTGAGCGGGTGTCGATCCATCCAAGAAATTACTCGCAACCACATCGTCGCTCCATGGGATGCTCCTCGTGTTGTTCCTAGGTTGTAACAACTTGGAAACCATAACAATGGCGGTCAAACGTTGTATTGTGTCTTCTTAAGTTGTTCTGCCAATAATTTTCTTATTAGTCGATCTAGATGTTGGAGACTACGTTATTTAATTTGGTATCAAAACAATAAAGTTAGAAAGTATGCTGTTTTTTGGACTTTCAATAAGATTCAGGAGCGTTATGCTGTGCATGGTGCACATGGTTGTAAAAATGACGTCGTTTGGACGTCTAATTTTTTTAAAAATAATTCAATTTCGATTATTGTTAATGGCTTTATGTTATGCATAATTTGAACTGTATATCCATAACTTCATAACTATACATTTAGAATTGCATAACTACACATCCATAACTTTATAACTATACATTCAGAATTGCATAACTACACATCCATTAACTTCATACCTATACATTTAGAATTGCATAACTACACATCTATAACTTCATAACTATACGTTCAGAATTGCATAACTACACATCCGTAGCTTCATAATTATACATTCAGAACTGTATAACTATAAATTCAAAATTGCATAACTACACACCCATAACTTCATAATTATACATTCAAAATTACATAACTACAAATACATAACTTAATAATTATATATTCAGAATGTGAAATTATAAAATTATAGATATATATTTACATAACTAACGGTAATAAAAAATGATTTAAAAAAAAAAAAGTAAAACGGCGCTATTTTTAGCGTGCATACGATTGCACGGCATAATTTGCCTAAGATTCATCTGGTGTCCAACTTAGCCTGTTTTTTGGACAAAACTCAACATCGTTGTTTATAGCAGTATACTATGTTTATTTTAGTTAGCAAAAAAAAAATAATAATAAAAAAATTTCAAAAAATGAACAGTTAATACATAAAAAATAAAAAAGTATGTGGGTGGTTCAACTCTACCTTCATTGTGGCAAGTTATCACCAATCTTGCACCTGAATAAATATTTTAGTTCTAGATTCGTATTTGATGATTTTTAATAGATCAAGTTATAAAAAAAAATAATTGTATATTTAATTATAGAGTTAATTCTAGGAATGGTCAATTGATTATTGATATTTATTAATTTTTATTTTTTATTTTTTAATTGGACCATAAATAGTCTATTGACTATTGATATTTATCAATTTTTATCCTCGACTTTTAATTTGACTATAAATGATCTATTGACTATTGATTTTGTTTCAAATTTGATTATTCAGTTAAATATACATTTCGTAAACATTAAATTTAAGAATAATAATGTAAAAATTGACTTGTTGTTGAGATGGACAAACTGAGTTTATAAGTTTAATACATTGAGTTCATCATTAGTGGAATGTGAAGAACTAATATTTAACAAGAAAACAAACTAAATTTGGAACAAAATCAACGGTGAATGGACTATTTATGGTTAAATTGAAAGTCAAGAATGAAAATTAATAAATATTAATAATTAATGGATCATTTATGGTACAATTGAAAGTTAAAAATAAAAATTGATAAATATCAATAATCAAGAAACCACTCATAAAATTACATGAATAGTTTAATTGATTCAAGTTTTTGCCTTAGCTTGGTCCACTTATTCACAACCAAATTTTTTCCTAACCAGAAGTACCACACGACCTAATTAACTGTGTTGTTGAAAATTAGGTCAACAAGTTAGCTAATGATTAAAAAGCAGCAATATTATCCCCAAAAAAGTGATCGAATGAGTGGAGTATAACTCTCGTACTTAAACATCATTAGTTTAATTCTAGTCGACACCTTCTCGTTTGAGCTCGTTGTACATAATTTTTCTAATGCAACTTATCTCATCTGTATAATTTGCAAACTATTATACAAAAACAGAATTTATTCAGTACATATCTTCTAGTTACCGCAAAAAAAAGAAAAGAAAATAAAACAACAACAGCAAGGCTTAAAAACTGTTACACAAATTGTGTTCCGATCCACGTGAGTTTCATGCTGTGTGTACGTTTTTGTATTTTTTTTTTTTCTGCCCCGCCCCCAGGGTCCTCTCTCTCAATATGAAAACATCATGTATAAATGTAATATTACCTTTAGGATAAAATATTTAAGCAATATATGATGTTAGGGGCAGATCATACATAAAAATAATTATTGTAAAAAATCTGTAATAAAACAATATCCAAAGTCTTATAATTAAAAATATGTTAGAGACTCGATCTCATGACCTTCCATATGAAAAAATCATTACATAGCATCTAAACACAAAGTGCTTGGCGTTAGTGGTTTTATTTATTTATTTATGTAAACTGTTGTTTCTGAAGTCATAATTTCTTTTTAAAAAATAATTTGTTTCCAAATAAATAAAAGGAAAATTGTAATTTATACACTCCATAATATACGAATTATCAACGTCACTCCTGAATGATTGTATCTTAATTTTCAAAACGGTACATATATTGCCCCTCTCGTACTGTACGGGAAGAAAATTGAGGGGCGACATTTACAGCACTAATAATTCAGGAATGACATTGATAATTGACATATTATAGAGAGACATAAATTACAATTTTCTCTAAATAAAATATTTAGTGTGTTATTGTGGGGAATTTGAACCAAATTGGATAGAATGTTAACTTGGTAATTATATAATACGGAGTATAAGGAATTTGAAATATAGTTGTGAAAATAGTCCAAACGTCATAAGTTTCATTATTGTCAACATTCTATCAGTTAAATTTGTTGAATTTACAAACCATTTTACATGATTCTTAAAGTTTACTCATGTGCACCTTATTCTTATTAAATATTTTGTTGCACGTAGATCACGAACCAAGGCCTATAGAAGGTTAGTTGTCTGAAGTGAGAACACAAGTAGTACGTTAACATTGAACAAATAAAGGCAATAATATTATTTTAATGAATTATAAATTTACTTTGACAACTATATAAGCCAATGTGTTGGAGAAATTAAAGTATAGGCAAAATAAGTTCACATCTATATATTCCTCCTCCTCTAAGTCTGAAGAAATTAATTAAGATGTGGAGCAGAGGGAATTCCGGGCGGCGGCGCAACGCCGCCGTTGTTTTGTTCAATTTTATGGTTGTTGTTGTCTTGCAGCTCTACTGCTCTTCAATGGTGTCGGTAGTAATGGCGGCAAGAGGCTCCAAGGTGGACCATATCCCTGGACTTCAATATGACGGCCCGCTCCCTTTTGAGCTTGAAACCGGGTATTTTTTTTTTCTTTTTTTTTTTTTAATATTATATAATCACGAGATGTACTGAAGAGACCCTAATTGTAGGAGACATCTTTAAATCTGTACCATACTTAGATTAATTATTGTTCGACTACCGATCTCTCTTAAGAAATGAGAATGCACGACCATTTATGCTAACCGAACTAATTATGTCACGGCTTTGACCATCCCAGGGTCAGCCTTGTCTACTTTGGGCTGACCTCACGATTGGCCTTGTGCACCTCGGGCCGACCTCATGACCATCCTTGTCAAGTTGCTCAATAACTTGGATTTCTATGTTTATTATATCTAAAAATACTAATATAAATACAATTTAAGTTTATAAAAAGTTCAAATTTTGTAGGATATATGCTCTTTCTCGTGTGCATTATTCCTTATAATGCATGGTTGTTTTGATATTATTAGGTACATAGGAGTTGGTGAAAATGAAGAAGTGCAAGTTTTCTACTATTTTGTGAAGTCCCAAACAAATCCTACCACTGATCCTTTCATTTTCTGGAAAGTTGGAGGCCCCGGTTGCTCTGCTTTGTTCGCAATTATACAAGAAATTGGTGACTTTTATTTTATTATTTTATTATATAATAATAATAATAATAATAATAATAATAATAATAATAATAATAATAATAATATTTAACTCTTGGAATATAGTATATATGCAAAATTATGTGATTGACTTTAATTTTATATTTATATATTTATATTGCAGGTCCGATTTCAATGGAGGTTGTGAAATATACTGGGGGCATGCCCAAATTGAAATTAAATCCTCACACATGGACAAAGGTCAATAATAGTTTAGTGACATAATTAGTTTATCAGTTAATTTTAATTTATTTGACTACTATTAATTGTTTGACTTAGTTAAACAATCAATATAAACGTTTGATTAATTACTTTTTTTTTTTGTTTATTATTTTAAAATACTAAAATTCAAAAAGCTGCTCAAAACAGCTTTTTCGATTAGCTTTTTGAGAAAGTAATTTTACATGTAATCACCTATCAGCTAACAACTAATTTACCGAACATTGTTCTACAATCAGCTAATGCTATCAAGTAGTTAAACCCACCAACCCAATCAACTAAAACTATCTTCTAACAGCTATTTACCAAAACCCCAATACTTTGATCTAACTCGAAATTGTACAAAATATATATGTTCAGGTCTCAAACATGTTGTTTATAGATTTACCAGCGAGAGCTGGATTCACTTATGCAACCACCAAAAAGGCTAATGTCTCAAGCAATATGAAAGAAAGTGAGCAAGCCTATGAATTTATGCGCAAGGTAAATAATATATAATAAGCTTTTTCATTCTTATGTTCACTCACGTGACACATTATTATATATATATGAGACTTACATAAAAATATTGATCAAGAAATAAAAATTGCTTAAAATATGATACTCACTCAGATGATGACCCTTATGTAAGACTGATTGAGTCTATATGAAAATATAATACTAGTGTCACGAATGAGAATCCGTGAAACAATCTTATAAGAGATTTTGCCATATTTAAATATTGCAATCACTAATGTTACATTTTTTTTTACCAGTGGTTCAATGATCATCCAGAATATTTGACCAATCCTTTCTACGTTGGCGGAGATTCATTTTCTGGACTTACTGTGCCAATAATTACAAAAATGATAGCTGATGGTAAGATTTTAAACAACAATTTGGAATAATGAATACATCCATACAATTATAAATCTCTACATTTCAAATACTATTTATGAATTGAATATAGTATCTCTATCTTTGTGGGTGTAGGGAATGAAGCAGGGACTAAACCATTGATTAACCTGAAGGTGAACTAATTTAGGCAGCTTAACTTATATATATATATATATATATATATATATATATATATATATATATATATATATACAACTGAGGGGTCTAGGGTTGAATCTTTGACATTTTAATATTTTATTTTACCACGTTGATTTTAATATATAATTCATTTTTATAGGGTTACATACTTGGCAATCCGGCTTCATCTCTTAATAATGTACATGAGTATCGTATCCCAGCTGCTTATGGAATGAACCTTATTCCTACAGATTTGTACAAGGTTAATTAATTCATAAAATAATATCTATAGTATATGCAATGCAAGTAAGATTAATTTTACTAATTTGAGATTAATTATATTATGATCAGTCACTGGAGAAAAACTGTAAAGGAAATTATGATCATTTCAGCAATGAACTTTGTGCCCAGGATATGGGCAAATTTGATCAGGTAGATCAGACATTATCATATCCTTTTTAGTTACATATATACATACTATCTATTCAACAATATATATACATTTGTTGTTGTTAATTACTATACATTGTTATTATGTAATAAGTAAATGCAAATATATATATATACTGGCCGCAGTTGACCAGGGGTATAAATCCAACTCATATTCTAGAGGATTTCTGCATACGTGTCGGTACGGGATCAGATGGTCTAAGAAGATCCCTTTCTCAAAGACCTGTTTTACCCCCGGGTGAATTTTGTTGGGTATAGTATGCAAAACTTGTTGCTTTTTTGCACTTGGTATTGTCATTTATATTCAGATAATTATTGTCAATTTCGTCGTAAATGATTTTAGTGATCTAATATATATAGTCCAATACTTTTGTGTTTTTGTTCAATTTAATCTATCCATTTGTTATTCGTCCATTTGGTATTAAATAGATGGACAATTCAGTGATTTCAATATTGACATCTCTTTACTTTTAGACATGCGAAGTGCGAAATCCCTCTTTCTTTTACGAATCAGTCCCAAAATAACTACCAAACCTGCGAATATAAAATTTGATTCACAGGTCATGGAGTAATTCGTAAAAGAAAGATGAATTTCGCAGTGTAAAGATAGGCTAATATTGAGATTACTGAATTATCATTTTATTTAACACCAATTTGATAGATTAACAAACGGGTGATTAAATTGGGCAAAAAATACAAAAATCTAGAACTACATTAGGTCACCAAAGTCGTTTAGGACAAAATTGAAAAAAATCCACTATAATCAATTCCAAAGACCATTTTGGGTATTAACTCCTAGATAATTATACCGAATATGATTGAAAATCAGTATTAATAATACCTTGTATAATCATATAAGTATAAATAATGATATCATGTGCAAAAAACACACTACTTTATAAAGATGTTTTCATAGAAACATGATTCTGGTAACAAAAAAACTCGATTTTCATGATAATATATATTACACTTGAATTTGAACAGCAAATGTTTTGGTACCTTAGATCAGATCTGTGGGCAAACAATGTAGCTGTTCAAGATGCCCTCCATGTTCGAAAGGTATGTATGTACATTAATCCTTGTAATAAAAGTAATTAATTAGTTAATTATTATTAATTGAGATTTTAAATGTAGGGAACAATTGGAAGATGGTGTGCATGCAATTATACAGATATTGGCTACACAGCAGATATGACAGACGCTCTTCCCTATCATGCAAATCTTACCACCAGAGGTTTAAGGGCCCTGATTTACAGGTATAAAATATTTGAGATTTTTTACGAGGTTGATATTATATATCACAGGGAAAAAAAAAAAGATTAAATAAGTTTCTAAAATTTGGTTCTTATCTACAATTATAAAATATATATTTGAGATTTTTAACCAGGTTGATAGTATCATAGGGAAAAAAATGTTAAATAAGTTCTTAAACTTTATTCAAAAAGTTAGTTAGACAATCTCCCATAACTTTTAAAAGCTATAATTAAGTTTATCAACATTTTATTTTAATGAATCGAAGCTTAAAAAATGTTATTGACTTATAATAATAGGTCACTAGAGTTTCGATGACACTCTAGCGACGCTCTGATCTGGAGGACTAATATTGGCGATCAGCGATTGCCAAATGGTCACTGGTCGCCACCTTCTCATCTTGGAGAAGGCAATCGGTGATCGTTCGCAGATGTTGGTGTTAGTCTTCGGAGCGTTGCCGAAATCCTAATGACCTATTATTACAGGTCATCACTAATTGATTTTAGACTTTGATGCACCAAAACAACATGTTAATGGGCTTAATTGCATGTGTTGGAATAATTCAATGACTTAAATTGACTTTTTAAATAATATTTAGGGGACTATTTGACCATTTTCCTAATATCATATTTAATAATTAAGTATATATGTGTCTAATACTCTAATATTATCAACACTGATATTGATCGACACCATTAAAAACCCTATTACATTGTAGTATCTGTTCATATACTTTCGCAACCCTTTCTGAACCTACTGGAACGCAAAGAACCAATAACACCTCCACTGAGACTCAAACTCGTAATTTTTAAAATGGAAGTCCAACCCGAATACCATTAGACCACATAGTCTTGGTAAAACTCGTTAATTTAGTATATAATTAATTTTTTTTTTTTTTGAGCAGTGGTGACCACGATTTAATAGTGCCAACAATGTCGACTGAAGCATGGATAACTTCGTTGAATTACTCGACTGTTGACAGTTGGAGACCATGGGCTGCACATGATGGTATTATAGCTGGGTACGTTTCAAGGCTCACTCAATTCTTCATTAATTACAATAATATAGCAAAAAAATAATAATATATTTTATAAACAATTAAATAGTTACAATTTAAATTAAGTATTTCAGTGTTTTACTAATGGAAATCCGTTGATAAATTAAACAACTACGTATTTCAGTTATTACCTACGGATTTTTTTTCGTCCGTAAATTTAATTTTTCTTGTAGTGATTATTATTTTGTTAGAAATAGTAATTAAATGTAAAATTGAATAACTATTTTTTTTCATCGTATTTATAGTTTTACAAGAAGTTACTCCAACAATATGACATTTGCCACTCTGAAGGTAAGAAGTTAATGATGTTATTCTCATTTTTTGAAAAAAAAATTCTTATTAACGTTTTTTTTTTTTTTTTTGGTTAATAAATAGGGATCGGGTCACATTGCTCCATTTTTTAGTGCTTATGAATGTCTGATTATGTTCGAGCGATGGATATCTGGTCAAAAGCTCTAAATTTGAATGTTAATAATGGGATATTTGTTGAAGAGCTCTAGAATTGAATTTCCATAATTTTCATTTTTGTACTTTGAATGAATTGAATAAAAAGTTTATGTAATAAAAAACAAACCATTTGTCCTTATATTTAATATAATAATTTTGTTTGTATTTTTTATGATAAATCTTGTAAGTGTTGTTTGTAAGTTCATCAATTTGTAAGTTCATCAATCTTGTAAAAAACGAGACGTTATGCCATGGAACCGTGTTCACCATTCATGGTGAACACGGTTCTAACGGTGTTAGTACACCGTTATTATTATTATTTTTTTAATTAACTGCGTGACTTTTCTTCTTTATTTTTACATTTTGCGGTTTCACTTTAATTTGAGGTGAACAAAGATTTCGGACATTCATAAATTATGAATTCATGCCTGCACATTCACTTTGGAACCATGCCTACACATTCCCGTCCAAAATCACGGACATTCATAAATTATGAATCCATGGCTGCACATTCACTTTGGAACCATGCCTACACATTCACTTTGGAACCATGAGATTATGAATTTTCTGTTATAAGATTATGAATTTTCTGTTATGAGATTATGAATTTTCAGTTATGAGATTATGAATTTTCTGTTATGCGATTATGAATTTTCTGTTATGAGATTATGAATTTTCATTACATTCATAATTTCTGACATTCATAAATTATGAATTCATGCTTGCACATTCACTTTGGAACCATGCCTACATATTCCTGTCCGAAATCATGGACATTCATAAATTATGAATCCATGCCTGCACATTCACTTTGGAACCATGCCTACACATTCACTTTGGAACCATGAGATTATGAATTTTCTGTTATAAGATTATGAACTTTCTGTTATGAGATTATGAATTTTCAGTTGTGAGATTATGAATTTTCTGTTATGCGATTATGAATTTTCTGTTATGAGATTATGAACTTTCATAAAATTCATAATCTCATAACAGAAAATTCATAATTTGATCAAACGCGCGCCGTTAACTCCACATCCGCGAATTTTTTTTTTTTTGGCCTAAAAACGACGTCGTTTTGCCTTGTGTTCACCATTCTCGGTGAACACGATTCCATGGCATAATTTGCGGTAAAAAACTCAGTGGTTTGTTTTTTAACGAAGCCCAACTAACTAATTAAAATTTGATATGTAAAGTTAAGTTATAATGACCTATTAAGCTAAGCAAAATTAAGTTATAATGGCCTGCGTGCAAAACCTTTAAACGTAACGTCGGACCATATAGATATATATGTAAGTAGTAGTAAAAGTGTCAATTATTATATCGTGAATCATGGTCCACATTGTAATATGAATCAATTTTATTAATATTTATTTTATTAATATTAATCGCATTAGATTAGTGTATTGCATATTCAATTTTAGTATACTACCTATAAATGAACATTCCGTATTTTCTAAAAATGAATATTTATCAATGGTCGATAATAGCTCAGAATATAATTTATCCTTGTTGTGTAAACTTTCAACTAACATGTATATACTTTTATAAATGTTAATAAATTTTAAATTAACTTTTATATAGGATAATTCAAACTTTTACAAATTTTGTAGGAATATTAATAAAACATTTATATCAGAAATATTTATAGGCTTTTATTAAGAGTTATTTTCAAGGAACATAACAAAAGCAGAGGCATAACTAATCAGCAGTTAATAAACCAACCCTCAACCACTCCTGTTAGAAGTTAGTTAACATTCTGTTCAGAAGCTTGTGTTTGTATAAAATCCCTTTTGTACTCTTTCTAGAATAATCAATGATGAATGTCAATTTTTCTCCTTTCAAGTCTGTTAGCTCTCAATTCATTTCTTTACATTTCATTTCCGCAATAGTTATTTTCATTTTTGGTCTCAGATTTATAGGTGTCAATGTGTCATTCCACTTTTAATCTCTTTTATTTTCTTTGGTTTTTTTTTTTTTTTCCAAAACATCATATCCTCTTTTGTTCATATTATTATTGTGGCATGACCATTTTTTGTCTTCTGTCAACAAACTTGTTCAAATAGCGTTAAATATGAGGGGATTTTGGTCTATTAAGTTCTATGCAAGTGTTAATTCCTTTTCTTTTTTTTTTTTTTTTGGTCTTAGATTTATGTGTCAGTCCAATTTTAGTATTTTTTTTATTATTCAATACAAGATCATTTTTTGTCATTCATCAATAAATCTGTTTAAATGTCATTAAAAATGATGCTAAAGAATTTTCTGTGATAACCCACTCAAAATCTCCCTTTTTTCTTCTTGGTAATAGAATAATACAAATGTGAAAGCTCTTTTTCATCTACATCTTCAAAAAATCATAACCACTAATCATACATTCATTGATAGCATAAACAATCCATAATTCATTTATAACATAATGGAACAAAAACTGTTAGCAATACATCAATCTACTGCGAAACCCAAAAAAGTGCAATTGCAAAAAATCAGAAATAATCTACTTCATGGTAAACCTTAAGTCTAGTGTACAAGTATACTTCACAAAAATTCACAAGATTACTTCACAATGATCCAAAAGTCTACTTCAAAAACATTTTAAATCAATCTATAGTTTGGGGGCTTCGGAGTTGCGGTGTTATTCATGCATTTCAACATCAATTTTAGACGATATTGTTGGCTTTTGAACAGCATACTGTAGGCATCTTCAAAAGCATGTAACAAAACTTTGTGCTTGTCTACATATACTGTCTCATGTCCACAGATTGATTTTAAAAGGGTAGTCAGGCCCAACTTGTCTACATCTAATATAAATTCTTTCATCTTCATTCTTTTACAGTTAAGTGTTTGTATTTTTATGATGTTTTGTAAACGAATATTTATATAGCCATCAATTTATGCTTTCTTCATTATTTGCTTCATAGTAATCAATAAAAATATACGTAATTTGTTTAATAGAATTTTAGTACGTTCTCTAGTAATCATGTGGACCATGAAAAACTCCTATCCATAGTCACATGTTTCGTTGTTTTTTCTTCAAAATGATTAAAAGAAATTATTATCACAAAATAATGAGGTAGACATTACAAATAAAACTTTAAAATAAATTTATAGTCCAATAAAAAGGAACCAGATAATACCTACCTTAATAGTTATGGAAGGAACCCAATCCAAAACTACATCATCTTGCCCAAAGTGCCAAATTTCGGGAATGCGGCATGGGGTGGCGGGTGGCTACTTAGCGGCGGAGTTTTCGAGAGTGTTTGGTAAATAGTTGTTAGTTGATTTGGGTTAGTAGGTACAACTAGTTCATAGTATTAACTATTTATAAAAAATTATTTGGTAAATTAACTGTTAGTGGTAAGCTGATTACATACAAATGACTTTCTCAAAAAATTACTTTGAGTAACTTTTTGAATATTAGTATTTTGAAACAAAAAATTGTTACAAAACACTAATTAATTAAATGTTTATATTAATTATTTAATCAAATCAAACAGTTAATAGTGTTCAAAAAGCTAAAATTAGTTAATAGGGTAATTATTTTAGCCAACAGGGCCTTCATGAATTGTATGGTAACAAATTCAAGTTGCAGTTCTTATCAATAAAGAATTGCGAACTATCAATTCTGAACCGTGAACCGAACCAGGCTGTGGCCATGTGTCATCTTCTTCTTAAAAAAAAATAAATAAATAAAATCTTGTCATCTTCGATCTTTCTTGACTCGAATGTAGGAAGATATGGTCTAGCACTCTAGTCTGCATATATAATAATCATTTACCCAAATTAAATTCAATAGTTTTTTTTTTTTTTTTCAATTAAAACAATCGAATGACTACTAACACGTTTATGAATATATATATAATGTCCGTATGGGTAGCTCAACTGGTCATAGAGGTGAAACTTTGGAAGAATAATCAGGGATCAAGTTTCACCAGCGGCAGTGTGAGAGCAACCTCTCAAAGTGAGGGGGGGCGCCTCTATAGTTCATGTTCAGTTGAGTCATCATGATTTACATCCTTCCAAATGCTCTGTTGGGCCGGGGTGTGGGAGGCCTTTAGGGTTGGGGTCAGCCTTTTGGAAGAATGAATATATATAATAATAATAGTTGTACTTTCACTATTTTTAAAACATATTATTGGTGATTATTTCTATTTTCTAGTGGATTTGGGATTAATTAATCAAATTGAAGGACCTTCCATGAAATTTCTCTCTAATTTCCTTGATTTTCATGTAAAAGAAGCCATCATTCAATTGAATAAATCCAAATTAAATAGCCGACACGGCATAGACGCAATCAATCACCACCATTCTTCATAAAGAAATTAAGAAACACGGCAAGGTGCACCAAAAATTCATGCATCTCTTTTTAATTATTTTTCAATAAGGTTTTGTTTGGAAACTTGAAAAATGATTTCTGAATATTATTTTTTGAGATTTAATATTTGGCCAATGGAGAAATGATGGTCAACGAAAATTGATTTTCAATTAAAGGAAAAACATTTTTTTTTTGAAAAATAACTTGTCCCTTTTTAAAGAGAAGTCATTTTTTCGGAAAATGTAAAACAACTTTTTTCCTATTCTCCATCTTTTTTGTTGGTTGCCTTCGGAAGCAAAAATCTGGTTCTCAACAAAAACCAGATTAACTTGTTTTCCAATGGAAATCATTTACGTACTAGTTTCTGTTGGAAACCCCAAAATTTTCTGGTTTCCGAAGCCAGAAACCATATTTTCAGCTTTGGAAACCTTTTTTTTTTTTTTTTTTTTAATGAAACATTGCTCTCTTTTTTTTTTTTTTTAATAAATAACATTGATTTCTTTTAATACAATTATGCTAATTTTATGAAAAATGATCCAAACACACTAAGATAATTTTTTAAAATGCAACTAAACACTTAAAAGAAAAATATTTTTTACAAAATGACTCATTTTTTCATAAAATATTTTCTAAATTTCTGTACATACCCTAAAGTAATGCTACATTCCCCTATTGGTTTATCTTATAATTTTTCATACTTGTGTAGAAATATTTTTTAGTTTGTGTCATCGGAAAATTCACAATAGTATTATTCTTTTCAATATGATTAGATTACAAATATTTTTATTTCATTAGCGAGCATCACACTATCTGAATACACATAACGATATTAAATATCATATCTCATAACTAGGGGATTTAATTCACCAAAGTAATTTAGGTTAATGGAATCGAATTTTAATTCAATTATTAACCAAGTTTTGTCTGTTGGATAACGGTTAAAGGTTTTGAAAATTTTCAATGGTTAATTCAATTTGAAAATTAATTAAATTGCTAATAAATACGTAAATAAATTAAATATATAAAACATATATTATGTATAAAATTTAGTGATTTAATCCAACTCATTTACCCATGTTCGGCCAAAATATAATTCAATGGCAAAAGGCAAATTATTGTGTGGGCCCGTGTTTAAAACAATGTCACTTTGAAGTAAAAAAAAAAAAAAAAAAAAAAAAAAAAAATTGTTCCGCGCGTGTTAGAATAATGAACAATTTGATATAAGATAATATATTTTATGAGTTACAATAATTTACTTTATGTGTTAGAATAATGTACCTTATATATGTGTTAGAATAATGAAATTTCTGTTCCGCGTGATAATATATTTTATGAGTTAGATTAATGTACTTTATGTGCTAGAATAATATATTTTATGAGTTAGAATAATGTATAATGTACTTTATGTGTTAGAATAATGAAATTTTTGGGGTAAGATAACGTATTTTATGAGTTAGAATAATGTACTTTATGTGTTAGAATAATATATTTTATGAGTTAGAAAAGTATATTTCATAATGTATAATGTACTTATTTTTTATGTGAAAATATGATAAGAATATTCATTTTGATATGACATTTAATTTGATGGTGATTTTTGGTGTTTTAATTTAGTGTAAATTTAGTGCTTAATATTGTTAACTCACTTAACCGCAAGTATGTTTTGGGTTTTTGGACAATGATCCATAATGCCAGATGGACCTTGGTCTATAGTATAATTTGCCGCAAATTATGTTGTGGACTCGTGTTCATAATGCATTGTGGACACGAGTTCAAAACGACGTCGTTTTTAGAGAAAACGCGACATTCTAGTTAAAAAAAAAAAATTTAATTTTGTCTCGCCGTTAACGGCGTTATTCGTTTGTGGCATTATGAATGTACAATTATGGAATTATGAATGTAAGTTATGGAATTATGAACACAGAGCTCTGACATTATGAACTTACAATTATGAACATATAGTGATAAAATTATGAACATAGAGCTCTAAAATTGTAAACATATAGCTTTGAAAATTATGAATGTACAATTATGAAATTATGAATGTACAGTTATATAATTATGAATGTACAATTATGGAATTATGAACAGAGAGCTCTGGCATTACGAACTTACAATTATGAACATATAATGATAAAATTATGAACATATACTCTTATAACGAAGCGGTCTAAATTTTTATTTTTTTTTTTAAAAAAAAAAGTGGAAGATAACGGTGCCACTAACGGCACCGTTACAGTGTCCACAATGCATGTCGGACACGGGTCCATAGCATAACGATTGATAATTTGCCTTACCAATAGTGAACCATTGTCTCTTTTTATAAGGTGAACTCTTCCACGGGATTGGATTTGATACCAAATTAAATGACATATTTTGTCTTAACTAAAAATTTAAGTTGGAACGATAAATTTATATATATATATATATATATATATATATATATATATATATATATATATATATATATATTATTTCGAATGAAAAGTGCATGTGCTAACTAACTTATAATTCATGGAATGAGATCCACCTTAGATTGCGCCAAAAGCATTCTTCCAACTTGAAGATAACTTAATGATTATTACTATACATGCAGCAATACAAATATATATCTTTTGACTTCTTACTTAAACTCTCCCAAATCCTCTGATCTACAACGTAACGTAACTTGATATTGTGACAAGCTACTTTTAAAACTGAAGCGTGTAATGCATGTGAATTTTCAAATTAATTTTGACAACTCTATATATATACATACCTACGTACTGTGCATGCATCAAATTAATGTACACAAACATACTTTTTAATTTCCGAGAAATTAAGATGGCGGTGAGAAGTGGAATCTCCGGCCTTGTTTTGCTTCTTGTTTTAGGGCTTTTCTCTTCAGAGTTGCCGGAAGTTATGGCGGCATCTGGCTCCAAGGTGGAGTATCTTCCTGGTCTTCAACATCAAGGCCCCCTCCCTTTTGAGCTTATAACCGGGTGAGGTGTTTACTCAAAAATATAATCATTTGAGTGAAAATTTTTCATTTTATATAATAAGAATTCAATTATTGTTTATTAGATACATAGGAGTGGGTGAAGGAGATGAAGTACAAGTCTTCTACTATTTCATAAAATCAGAAAGAGATCCAACCTCCGATCCTATATTGATGTGGATATCCGGTGGCCCTGGCTGCTCCAGTTTGTTTGCATTTGTGCATGAATTTGGTGACTTCTTTTGCTCTTTTCTTACTTACATTCTTATACTCTTCATGAAAATTAGTATGCTAATTAAACATGTTTCTTTAATATCATGAATGGGAATAACTTGGAGGGTGTGGTTGAGTGGAAGGGACTCATCCATCCTTAACCGAAGGTCAAAGGTTCAATCCTCGGTTTTGAGAATGAAGCGGCCTTAAATTTCCAGGCCAGCTGTCCCATAATAAATATTCTACAATCAAATAAATAAACCTAAGAGTTATAGTTGACATCAGCATGCACGTTACAGAAAAGTGAAATTTAATTAATTATTTCGTATACAATCTCAAGTAATCAAACTATGTGATTTACCTTAACTAAGATAGATCCATATTACAGGTCCAGCGAAATTGGATATTGTGGCATATAATGGGAGCTTGCCGACATTGTCATTAAACCCTCACTCATGGTCAAAGGTCAATGATCTATATATATATATCCACCTAAGTAACTAAATTGTGTATTAATGAAACTCAATTTGATCTAACTATATATATATAATTAACTATATAATTCAGGTTTCAAATTTACTGTTAGTAGATTTACCAGTAAGAAGTGGATTTTCTTATTCAACTACTGAGAGGTGTAACACCTCTGATACTTTCCAACAATGTGATCATGCAGAACAATTCATGCGCAAGGTAATTAAGCTTTTTTCAATCTTCAATTCACGTTACTATGAGACTTGTATAGAATTACTAAAGAAAAAAAATTAAATCTTGTATAGAATTATTGAGAAAAAAATATTAAATGCATTATAGTTCCGGTCTTCAATTCACTATTACTTTAATTATTTTATAGTGGCTCGTTGACTATCCGGAATACTTAACAAATCCTCTCTATGTTGGTGGGGATTCATATTCTGGACTAGTTGTACCCATAATTGCTCATAAAATATCTGATGGTAAGATTTACCAATTAATTGGCATTTATCTTCTCATAATAATAATAATTTTAATACTTTTTTAGATTCAAAATGATAGATCGGAATATGGATATTTTGATACTTCATAACAATTTGTGTGGGTGCAGGGAATGAGGCAAGAACTAAACCTTGGATTAACCTTAAGGTGAATTAATGATCGCCTTAATTTTATAATTTTATTTAAATCTAAGTTTCGATCAATTATATTCATTATAAATATTATAATTATAGAGCGCTCAGGCAAAATCTGTCTTGTGATCCTAGTCAGTAAATTCAAGGATTACAAGAAAGTAAATCGGTCTAAATTGCCCATAATTGACTAGCTCAAACTAGCTCTAAAATCCTTAACTTTACACTATATTTATTAAAATTTAAAGAACATTATTATTATTATTATTATTATTATTATTATTATTATTATTATTATTATTTTTGTAGGGTTACATTCTTGGCAATCCGATGACAAAAGTAGCAGAAGATGCTGCGTACGTGATCCCATTTATATCTCGGATGGGATTCATTCCTGAAGATTTATTTGAGGTTAATTAATTGATCAATTCCTATTTCCTAGTATATATATTTCCTGTCTTTTTTTTTTTTTTTTTTTAGAATATGAAATAACTTAATTCTCTTATTATACTAATATTTTAAAATTAATTTTATTAATTTAATTTCGTGAGCAGAAATCCAAAAAACATTGTTACGAGGCTGAAGATGTCTACAATGTGCCTTGTATGTGGGATTCACTTAAAATCACAGAGGTGATAATTCTTTTTTTTTTTTTTGTTTGTCGAGTATATACGAGTATGGTATATATATACCTTATTGTATTGAATACTCAAAAGCTCATAAATATATAGTTTTAATTACAAATATAAACACAAATGATGAGCATATAATGCAAATATATACATGCAGTTGATCCAATATATATACCCGGCTCATATTCTTGAGCCTCCATGTTCCCGTGCGCCTGAACCGTACGATGAATCGAACGGTGAAAGAAGACTTCTCACGGAGAGACCAACTCTACCTTCCAGTATATTATGTTGGGTGAGAATCCTATTATTAATATAATAATAATATTAAGGAGAGAAATAGATTATGTCACTATAATTCAGGGGTCAAAAATATCTTTTTTTTTTTTTTTTTTTTTTCCTTAATAGATCTATTATTAAAATTTAAACTTTTATACTTATTATACCCAAAAATTTAAAACAGCTTGATTAAACACATAACTGAAAACAATGTGTTATTAGTTATAATGTGTAAATTTAATTAAACAGGATGATTGGTACAAAACATCTGAATATTGGGCTAATGATGATAGTGTTCGAGAGGCTCTTCACGTTCGAAAGGTATGTATATATATTAAATTTTTTTTTATGTTCTAAAAAAATGTAAGTATTATTGTAATTAATAGTAATAATTAGTTGAGATTTTTTTATTTTTTTTATTTTTAAATAGGGAAGTGTTGGACAATGGAAGTCATGTAATCCCGATTTGGGTTATACAGCGTCTATAGGTGATGTGTTTTCCTATCATGTAAACCTTAGTGCTAAAGGTTACAGGTCGCTTGTTTATAGGTACGTACAAACATTTATATTTTGTACAAGTTAATCAAATTTAGTATACGTACATCGACTAAAGATTGTACGTTTTGTAAAGCAGTGGTGATCACGATGCGGAAGTACCATACCTTGCAACTAAAGCGTGGATAGAATCACTGAACTATTCTACTGTTGAATATTGGAGACCGTGGATTGTTGATGGTGGAGTGGGCGGGTATGATTAATGACTAAATTTCTTATATTTTGAGAAATAATATTGAAATTTAAAATTGAATAATAATTGTTTGTTTTCCGGCCTTTGTTTATAGTTATACAACAAGTTATTCCAACAACATGACATTTGCTACAGTAAAGGTGAGATTTATTTATTTATTTATTTTGAAAATGAAATTTAATGTGACGAATTGAAATTAAAGTGGGTTTTGTAAATGAACAGGGATCAGGCCATATTGTTCCATTTTTTACTCCCTCTGAAAGTAGTGCTATGTTTAAGCGATGGATATCCGGTGAAAAGCTTTAACATTGAATCGAATCTTATAGATTTTTATCAGTTTTCTACTTAAAATTAATAAATTTCTAGTGATGAAACGCACAATTATATATCTCAGTTTTTTTTTTTTAATAATTAAGTGTTTGTATTTCTGTAATGTATTGTAATCGAATATTAATAAAGACATCAATTTATGTTCCCTTAGCTTCTTGATTTGTTTCATAATAAATGACATACTAACATTCGTAAATAAACTTAATGCTCAGACCTGTTTTGCTATGCCAACAACATATATACGCAAATTCTATGGTGTACTAGGGTCACCATGCCGGCAAATTATACCATGGACCAGAATTCACCTTGCATTGTGGATCCCGATTCAAAATTATATTAAGATTATGTGTTTGCAGTTATAACATAATATGTTAACTGTATATGCATATAATATCTTCAGTTAACATACTATGTACCTTCATATCATTTACAAACACATAATCTGTTAACTGAAGACACATAATTATTGAACTAGCGTCCACAATGCAAGGTGAACATTGGTCCATGGCATAACAATTGTGTCATGCGTATTGTCGACCCTAGACTAGTACATTTCGTATACCATGGACTAGAGAGTTAATATATTAAGTCCATGTAGTTAACATATTATGTATATATATATATATATATATATATATATATATATATATATATATATATAGTTAATAAATTTTGTGTCTTCAACTTATTTACAGACACATAATTTGTTAACTGAAAACACATAATATGTTAACTGCAGAAATATAATTTACTGACCATGGTCCACAATACAAGGTAGACCATGGTCCATAGTATAACAATTGCATATTATATATTGTTTAACTTTGTTTTAAGTTTGTAATAATAGACCTTGATCCATGATATAATGATTAACAGATATAATATATTTGGGGTGGGATAGATCAGCCAAAACCCTAAACCTAAATGCAAAGAAATAATATTAAAGAAAAAGAAACAGGTAGCTGTGACAAATATAGATTTGAAAGAATTAAGAAAACATGAATCTCAAACTGTGTATAATACAAGGAATAATTAACCTTAATCATTAAATTCTCAGCTGTGGTCATCATAAAACTCCTCAAAAAGAGGTTCAAGCAAGGTCATCATTAACAAAGGATATATATAGAGTTGGACATCTCGATCTGATTAAAGTACATACGCTAATTAATCAGGAATTAATTAAATAAATCAACGATGATAAGGAGATGTTGATTGCACTCTGTTCTTTCTCTTCTGGAGGAACCTTTGCAGAGATCCCTTCATAGAAAGAGCATTTGGACTGTATAGTTGCTTCTGCAACAATAATGGCGAAGAAGCTAATGATCTTGTCGTCTTCTTCGTTCTTTCTTGACTCGCAAGTAATATGATGGCTCTAGCCTGCACGTTTAATCATCATTTACAATTTTAATTAGATTTAATTCAACACAATATTATTTCAAAAAAAATTCAACACAATATATTTTTTTAACTGAAGAAATAATCAACTAATTTCTGGTCAATTTAGGCATATCGAAGATTAATTAATTAATTAAATTCTGTGACCTTTTATGAAATTTCTTTATTATTTCTTTAACGCGGGATACGAAATTATTTATTTAAATTATTTAAATATTCTAAAACAGCCGACACGCCATACACGCATTCAATCACATGCCAATTTCCTCATTCAACCACCGGAAGGTGCACCAAAATTTCATGCAACTTTTTTTTTTTTTTTTTCATATATGATTAAATTACAAATATTTTTATTCCATTAACTACAAAATTTTAAATATAAAAACTTAAAATCTCTAATATTTATCTAGAATTTAAAATCGAAAAATTTCCTACGATTTAAGTAAGCTAAAGTTTAAACGAAAAACACGACGAAGTATAGTACCTGAATCTCCGTGACGTCAGAAGAAACGATTTTGCCGTCGTAGAAAATCGTGAGTTGCTGCTGTTGCCGGCGGCTCTCCTCCGAAGAGTGGTCGGACGTCGGAAGTTGTTGAACGGCGTTATAATCCTCCTGGGAAATGGAAGGACCAGAAGAAGAAGAAGAAGGCGAAAGGCTAAGTTCCAGGTTGCAGTTTCTTCTCATTTTTCTCGAAATCGAATGCCTTATTATTAGCTCCTTGATTGAATTCGAGGACGACGATGAGGTTACGTTACCACTGAAGATCTTAGAGAGAGAGAAGAGAGAGAGATGTTGAGAAGAGATTGGAAGAAGGGAGAGAAATGGGAATGAATATATAAAGGTGGAAAGAGGGAAGAAGACACGAAAAGCATAGGATCGATCATAAAAGTGGGCGTTGCTGTTAAATGGACCAGCGCCAGCTTCAATGAATAGTAACCTTCAAATAAAACACGTGATGCATGCGTTTTTTTTTTTTTTTTTTTTTAATAATCTCCACGCCGCAACCGAGGATACAAAATATCTTTTACTTTAAGTCGGCTGTTCTATTTTCTTTCTTCGCCCCTCTAATTTCTCATAATTCATGTTTGTGCCCCCCTGTATTTCCTTAAATTCATTGAGCTCCCTATGATTACTGATTAGTGTTGCGATTTGTGGAACAGAGTGTGCCGTAAATTCTTATAATTTTATGTTATTATTATTATTATTCCATTATATTTTACTAATGTTACCCTTATTTGACGTTTATTTAGTCACATGTTCTATAGTTCGTAACTAGTTAGTTTTATATATTTATAGTCAATACAAGCTAGTTGTTAGTTCAATTTGTTACACTACATCTTTCAGAAGACACAGAATTGTTATTAAACATGGTGGTTGAACTATGATTATTACTCTTTATTTGTTGTATTCACTACAAGAAAATAAGCACTTAAATATCTATTTGTAAGTAAATTTGACTTTGTTTTTATAGTGTTCATGTTATATATGTCATCTAAGGGCATGTTGTCTCTTATTTACTCAAAAATCTTGCAATCCAATTTCATTAACAAATATAAATCCTAATATTTTATTCATTCTTTTAATTTCCATATACTTTTATTAATCCTTGCCCACAAAATGTAAAATCCATCGTTCTAAAGGTCCTCACATTCCGACTCGACAATATGGTAGAGAGATAAATCACAATAGTGATATATAGGTGGAAGGTCTCGTGCATATATAATGCCCACAGAGAGTCCACCATATTAGGTTTAACTCTCACACTACGACTGTCATGTCTTTCGCTTACACCCTGCCCACAATCTACTTTTTGAGTACTAATTGAGATGTCCTTACGAGTAACGCTGATTAATCCTATTATTAGTAGTTGTTGAGTGACTTGAATCTGACTCATCTTGTTATATATCTTGAAGCATATATATACAGTACACTAATTTCCTAATCCACCTATCTTCTCCAAAATGAAAAATCATGATAAACATATATCCATGAAAGTTGAAACCGCTTTCAAAAAATATATATATCCATGAAAGTGCATCATATCAATCGATATCTTGTGTGTTTTGTATAAAACGTGCAAGTACGTACACAATTTGTACATGTGAGAAAATGACAGTTCCTACGATTAGGTCATTGGCTGTTAATTATTAAATGCTGACTAAATTACAGTTAGCTGGAAAGGGAAATAAGTGTGGAACATATGTACAAATTGCAAGTGAGAAACGTAAACTACGCGATGTTTGCGGGTTTTGCCCCACACACACCCCACGCGCCAACGAAAATGCGTTGCACATTTTCTAAACCCATAAATTAATAGATTAATTTATTATTATTATTATTATTCATTTTTTAATTTTGTTCCAGAATTTTTTCTATTTTAAAATAAGTTTAATTTAATATTCTACTCTTTTTTTTTTTTTTTTTTTTTTTTTTTTTGAGTTTGCGTGGATCCCCTCAGCTCCTCATATCTCAGCGCTTCATAGTCAAAGTTAGAGTACTAGCTAGTTAAAGTTTTTTCTTAACCATTTATTAATTTGTTCAAATAAGTATCAAGTTTGCTTCCTTATTTTATTAATTTATTTATACCCACAATTGGAGATTCCCTTAGTAGCACACAGTGGATGGACGCCATTTGGAGATTTGTTAAATACATCTATATTATATCTTATTAGTATTTACGACTTATTGTAATATCGGAGATTATCTAATTCGCACATTTATTAGCTTTTTTTTTTTTTTAAACATAACTCATACGACAACCTGTTAAGAGGTGAATATCATATCAAAATGTAAATTCAAAAAGAAAAAATAATTTTAAAAAAATTGATTAAGACTCATTATTAAGTGATTATATGAATCACAATAATTAGAAAAATTGTCAATTCAATTGTTCCTCTAAATACAAAAGATAGTGTAATTAGGTTCTCCATTAATGACCAAGACTACGTGGTCTAATGGTACCCGGGTTGGACTTCCATTTGGAAGATTGTGAGTTTGAACCTCAGTGGAGGTGTTATTGGTTCTTTGTGCTTCAGTAGGTTGAGAAAGTATATGAACAGATACTACATTGTAATAGAGCCAGTAACATTAGGCGAGTGGATGCTAAGTGTATAATTCATTAATTAATTTTTTATAATATAATATTTTTAATTTTATAATAAATAAAAATGTTTATTTTTAAAAAAAAATTAAAAAAAAAAAAAAAAACCAATCCTTTCACATTCGACCATCGTTTTAAGCCTTGGTTGTCTTTCCCACCTCAAAAGGGTCAAGGCCCTATTTGGTAAAAATTTGGCCTTTAGGTCAATTTTGGCTTATTTGACCATTATTAATTATTTGATTTAGTTAAAATATCAATATAAATGTTTGGTTAATTAGCTTTTTGCAACTCCAAAAGGCTAAAATTCAAAATGCTACTCCAAGCAACTTTTTCAATTAGCTTTTTGAAAAAAGAAATTATACTAAACAGCTATCAACTAACAGCTAATTTACCAAACACTTTTCTACAATCAGCTAATGTTATCAACTATTTATACCCTCTAATTAACACAATCAACTAACAACTAACAGCCATTTTACCAAACAGGGTCCAAATCTAGGACATTTTTGAAGTACTCAATGAAGGTAACCTGACCACCTTCGCTCCCCCTCCCCTCCATAAGAGGAAAGATATGAATGTAGGTAGACTATTTTTGTTGAGAGGATAAATAATTAGGGTTGTTTGTCAATAAGAAGACGATTTGAGGTTATTTGTTTTTTTAAAAAATAAAAATAAAATAATATTTTTATTAAAAATACTATTAATAAATAAAATAATAAATATTTATATATTTAAATTAAAAATATTTAGCTTACACTACTGGAAATTCTGAAATTTCCGATCACCTGAAAATGATCTTAAATTAAGTTGATACCAAAAAGTTCAAAAAGTGGTCGGAAATAGCAACAAAGGTTTTTCCGGATACCAAAAGTGGTCGGAACAAGACTTTCAACTTGATTTAAGATCACTTTCAGGTGGTCGGAAATTCCAGAATTTCCAGTAGTGTTATTTGATTAAAAATAATAATAACTTGTATATTCAACATCTACCTAACCTTAGAACGTCACATATTTGTCTACTCAATGTCAAATCTATAGTAATCTACTAGATATGTCATATTAAGGCCGGCCTAACTCCATTATTTACCAATTTAGGAGGTCTCATTGAAGCTTTTTTTTTTTTTTTTTTTTCACTTAAAGAATCCAATTACACTACTTATTATATTTAGGGAGTCAATTGACACATTTTCCATCACAATTACATAAGTTTTTTTCCATATATCTTAGTCAATCTTTTTGGTAGAATTTGGTATTAAAATGTCTTTATCGCATGGGTAATTAACTAGTTATTTGGCATCAGGAAGCATTATCGTGGTTGAAGAGGCTTAATTATCATTTTGTGGTGATGGAATGAAACTGATTGTCTTCCTTTGCTACAAGCTATTACCAGCTGGGTTTCTGATCTTACATACAAAGGATGAAAGGAATTGTGTTGGATGAATGTTTGGACCTTATTAATAATTTTACTAGTATCTCAATTCATTTTGTTAGACGTTCTGTTAATTTTGTAGCTCATTCTATAACTAGAGCAGTGGGTATTACCACCGTTTTGGGTGAGCGGCATGTCACTCCGCCCCTTTCGTTTCTGATCTTTTGTCTGTTTAATAAATTTGGTCTTTGTTTACAAAAAAAAAAAAAAAAAAAAAAAAAAAAAAAAAAAAAAAAAAAACCTAGTCATTTCTAATACATAAATACTTTCCATTTTCCTATAATAGAAAAAAAAATAAATAAAAACCGGCCATTGCGGCTTACTGTCTGCCTTGCACAATGCCACTAAAAAAATAGTGGATATGATGCATGATTTTACCATTTTTTGTATGCCCTTGAGATGACATTATTAGAAAACCCAAAAAAAAAAAAAAAAAAAAAATGAAAAGGGGTAGAAGTCATAATGTATTAATGTGTACTCAATTGCACACGAAATATAAGATAGATAATGATTGGATCAACCAGAGCAAGCAACACATGCTAAAACTCTTGTGGACGAAAAGCATACACGTTATGTAAAATATTAGAGTTTTGATTTTCAATCTTTTTAGGTGCATTAAAAAATGTCAAAATTATGTGCACCACTATAATACTTAGTATAGTTTTTGTCTCCTATTAATTTTTTTTTGAATGCTGTCTCCTATTAATTTATTTGTTGATGAAATTTATATAAATTTAAACTACAAACTTAATGTAATTCACTACTCTTGTCTGGGGATTGACCTTGTTTAGTAAATGACGAATTTATTAAAATTTGACAACTTCATCATTTTTTTTATCAAAACACCAAAAACTTCATTTGAGTTTTCAACGATTTACTCCAAACTACTGAAATCTCAAACATTGCTGTTAACCGCATTTGAGATTTGACATTTTAGTGAATCCTTCCCTCAAACTCCTACCACTAAATAGAAAAAAAAAAAAAAAAAAAAAAAAAAAAAAAAAACTCCATGGATTTAAGAGCCTAAGGCTCCTTTAATTAAAAAAAAAAAAAAAAAAAAAAAAATCCTTAGGCTCCTATGAAAATGAAGGGGGCGTTGAGCTCCCTCCTCCTCTCCCTCCCCCTCCCCTAAGAGGAGGGAAGGTTTCGAGTTTGAGTCACATTTCAATCAAAATTTATAAAATTATTGAATAAATACTAAAGGTAGATTAAAATATATATTTTTAAAAAAAAAGTTAAAATTGTCTTATAATGACAACTAACTCATTAGATTTAGTCTCAAACGTTTTTTTTTTTTTTTTTTTTTTTTTTTGTGGTCTCAATTTAGTCATCGACCATAGTAGTCTTTCCGATTTACTCTCAAACGTTTTTAATGCCTAATTAGGCCCTAAATTTTGATGATGTTGTCTAATTGAGTCGTCGGATATTAGAATCAATGACTAAATTGAGAAAATCACAATAATCAATGACTAAATTGAGTGAAACCACTATGATCATTGACTAAATTAGATAAAATCACTATAGTCGAGAACTAAATTGTGTATTAATAGATACCAAGTTATCTTAACAGATGACTCAATTAAGTAGAATCATTAAAGTTCAGTACCCAATTAAACACAAAAAAAATGTTTAAAACTAAATAAAAAAGAATCAATATAATCAAGAACTAGATTGAGTAATAATTCCTAAGAATTAGATTCAAATAATAATTACTCAAAAAAGGTCAATCAATGCACAATATAATTGTTTTTTGAGTCCTAAATTTAAGGGCCATTACAAGGCCAAATGGCCCAAATACAACTACCAAAGCAAAGCTTATAAAACTCTTTTAGATTAATTGTCCAATTGAGTTGTATTTCGCGAATTGTTATATCGTGCGCCTTAAAAATCTCATATTTCATATGTAAATAATTGTATAGTAAAATACACATAAACTCCTAACATAATACACATAATTTAACATAATACACATAAACTCTTAACATAATACACATATACTCTTAGGGCACACAATACATTGTGCACCTTGGTGCACGATATAATTTACTGTATTCCGCAACATACCTACAATATCATTGTTAATTAAGTGGTCTTACATTAAATATATTGGCAAATTATTATGTGGACTGATAGTGTAAATACGGTATCGTGTATTGTACTGCTAGGAGATGAGCTCTCAGAGGTCGGGAAGAGGGATGAGGGGTTGGCTAGATCCGTCTCTCTCTCTCCGGGTCTCCAAAAGTCCCCCTACCTGTAATAAATGCGGGTATTTATGGGGATAAAGGGCTGCGTCCGAACCCCCGGCATGTTGGACACGTGGTCTTCATGCAACTAAGGGCGTTCTAACCGAGAAAGGTCGTATACTTGTCGCTTTGCTTCAAGGGAACGTTTACACGTACCCCCGACGTGATAACGCTACACGTGTTCGTGGTCGGGGTAGATTGAATGATACGTGCCGACCGACGCAACACAATCAGTACTGATCGGGTATTACACCTGATGCGTAGACAAGATAAGACCGACCGCCAGACTTGGTGTTAAGCTTAGTGGACGACTAGGTATATGACTATCATGGACCATAACAAAAAGTTTTTTTTTTTTTTTTTTGAAAACAAAAATATATTATTCGTGTACATAAATATACATTATATAAACAAAATAATGTATTTTCAGTACTCAAATAAAGTACTTTCCCTGAATACAATATATATTTTTAATATACTAAAAATACATTGGCCATGTTTGATAAAATAGTTAGCATATAAGCTAATTTTGACTTATTTGACTAATATTAACTCTTTGACTTGGTTAAAAAATCAATATAAGTGTTTGGTTAATTAGCTTTTTGTAACTTCAAAATACTAAAATTCAAAAAGCTACTCAAAAGCAACTTTTTCAATTAGTTTTTTGAGAATAGAAATTATACCAAACAGCTATGAGCTAAAAACTAATTTACCAAACATCTTTCTACAATAATAATCTAATGTTATCAACTAGTTATACCATCTAATTAACCCAATCAACTAACAGCTAACAACTATCAGCTAACAGCCATTTACCAAACACCAAACAGTGTCATTATTTATATACTGAATGTACATTATTTGATACTGTGTGGACCATAGTTCATACAATAATGATTGAAATATAGTCACCCGCATGAGCAGCTCAACTGGTCACAGAGGTGAAACTTTGGAAGAATGACCATGGATTGAGTCTTACCAGCGGGCCCACAACCTCTCAAAGTGAGGGGAACAGCCTCTGTGGTTCATGTTCAGTTGAGTTACCATGATTTACATCCTCCCAAATGTCGGGTTGGGGTTCGGCCTATGTAGTATAATTATATTCTCCTACTTTAAAAGTCATAAATTCTATCAGTGCCCTCTCAATTGAACCTCCTGTGTGGTTAGACACCCTCACTAATATCTAATCGATTATTTTTCTGTTTTATCCCTCTAGACTAGACAAAGAGGAAGAAACAAGTATAATGGACTTTTCACTCTCTACATTATTATCTTAGGAACACCCATATCTCTCCAAACTTCTTTCTTCTTCATCTTCTTGCTTCACAACCAAAGGAGCGAGTCTCCATTAATGGCTTTTGAGCTGCCAAACCACAACCAGTTACATGTACATCTATATATCAAAACTACACTACCATATGGTACAGTTGAAAGGATGAGAACAAACAGATGAAAATTTCTTATATTGTGAAATTAAACACTGTATATAATCTACCAATAAATAAAAATTCCTTCTTAACAGATCAATTTTCCAGCTAGCTACTCCATGAAGCTGCAAGTTCATAGCAGCTAGAATCAACGGCATCTATAGGCGCTAGCCCGGTGAAATATTCGTGCAAGGTGCATTCTGCTACGTACGGGACTAAAATTACAAAGACGACACAATACAAACCTGTTGTCTCGACTCGTTGTCATGTCCATGGCTGGCTGCATAACGAACAAGTCAATAATTGGCGTGTTCTTCACGATTGCATTGCCTGCCACACAGATTTCCGGCTATCAGACATAAATGAAAGGGATCGGAAATGTTGAAAACATTGAAAGAATGAAACTAATCTGAACAACGTTGTACTAAAATGTTTTTGTTACGAAACATTCTTGAAAATAATTGATAGGGACATGAGTGGAATGAGACTAATCTGAACAACATTGTACTAAAATGTTTTTGTTATGAAACATTCTTGAAAATAATTGATAGGGACATGAGTGGAATGAGACTAATCTGAACAACATTGTACTAAAATGTTTTTGTTATGAAACATTCTTGAAAATAATTGATAGGGACATGAGTGGTTTGACAGGGAAAAGCAAGAACTGCAGGCCCAAGAATGAAGAATAAATTAATTTAAAGCTACGAATCATCTTAACAATAAAGTAGGGTGGAGATAACGAAAGCAAAGACGAGCTGAGCTTACTGACTTCTATTTAATTAGCACCAGGGCCACTTGGCATCCCTCCAAGTGAAGCAATGTGTTCTTGAATTTGAGTCTCGAGAAGATCTGGACCGCCTTTCTTCAGCTTCTTGATGGGTACGAGAGTTAAAGCCAAATTCTTGACAACAATGAAGCTTTTCATCACGAGCTAGAGCTTCTCCTCTATATCCGGGATTGTAACACCGTGGATGCTGTACGAATGATAAACCTTTCCACCAAAGTTTGAGAGCCTAGGATTCCACAAATAGAATAGGATCACAAGTCGTATGAATTGAAGCATGTGCTCCATCTCAATTAAAAGCCTAAGCTTATACTTAGATTGCACATTAATGGTTAAATGCTCAACACGCCCCCTCATTGGTCTGGCTCTGATACCAAATTGAAGCATGTGCTCCATCTCAACTAAAAGTCTAAGCTTATAGTTGGATTGCATATTAATGGTTATATGCTCAACACACCCCCTCATTGGTCTGGCTCTGATACCAAATTGAAGCATGTGCTCCATCTCAACTAAAAGTCTAAGCTTATAGTTGGATTGCACATTAATGGTTATATGCTCAACAGTATGAGAATCTTTACATTTGTACTTTTACCACAAAACCTTTAGCTTCTCCAAAACACAGTTCGCTATTTTCACATTATCAGTATCTGAGGTTGCTAAAACCGAGATATAAATAAACCATGAAATTAGATGGTAGTATTATGACTATTTCAAGTGACCGAATATTACAAATTAGAAAAAGTTACCTGCCAATATATCCAAAAAGCAACCTTATGAGGCATCAGCCAGAAGAATAGTGTGTGATCGATCAGTGTAGAAGACGAGACTCTTTTAGCCACCAATGAAGCCGTGAAATAGTCACCATGTGTAGGATGATTAACTGAAACCGTTACCAAAAGATTCTCTCCCGGTGCATTAGTTTTGATCCTCCAACTCCCGAGCATATCCTGATATCAATTCCCATAAAGACGATGAAAAACGAAAGATAAATATCGAAGAAACAAAAATTTTACACCGATGAAAAAGGCAAAGTCTGGCCTACAAAGTAGAAAGACAAGAAAAGAAATTGAAAGGTCATGGTGATTACAAACACATACATTAAAAGGACTAACGTGTAGAGCTTTTGCAACCATATCAGAATCTGGGTTGAACAAGAATGATATTCTTTCCCCCCACGGTGTATTTGTAACCTGAAAAACGAACCCTGTCAGCAACACCCTGTCGAGTACAAGCTGGCAATGAACAATAAACAACATTCAGATCGATTATCTGAAGAAATCACTCACCTCAGCAATGCATTTCTTCAAATGATGTGAGGAACCTTCAACATCATAGCAATAGTACACACTCAAGGGATTTTGCTCATAGCCAACACTTGGGGGTATTGTCAACAAGAAACTGGAGAGACAACATAAAATCATTATTCCATTAACTAAGAATAGTGGACACAGAATTATAATAAGCTAAGTTATAATGATTTTAGCAATCCCATAGCATTCTATATACTGAAATTGACCAATGTAAATTCAGTAATTTAATTTATTTTTTTTTTCTGGTTTCAAATTCAATGTGTCAATGGAAGTTAAAATAACCATGGAAACATTAAAAATGATATTTAAAAGAACAAAAAATTAATAAATAGAATAGAGAAAGCACAGTATGCTGAAAATGAAATTCAGAGCAGAAAATAGAAATGAAAGGGAAGTACGCAAAGAAATCTTACACGGGGCCATTGGTACCGGAAAAGCTGCGAGCTTGGGAAGCAGAGAGGTGGTCAGGCGGCGCGTGAAGCGCGTGGTCGAGGTCAAAAAGCGCGTAACGGACAGAATATTGGAAAGAATGGTGGAGGGGGCGGCGGCGCTCGTGCCATACGGTGCCTTGGTAGAGTGAAACTGAGGGTGCGTGTTGGGCGGCGCGGCGGGCGCAGAAGAGGCGGCGAAAGGGGAGGAGGATGAGGAAAGAGCGGGCGAGGGAAGTGATGGAGTTGTAAAGCAAAGAGCAGAGAAGATATAGAAGCTCCATCACCGTACGAAATTGCTGAATTTCCCACTACACATACAGTACTGAATTGAAAAGCTGCTTTAACTCCAAATTTGAGGCTTTGAGCTCCATGCCCACTCTGTCATTGCTTGTAGCGACTTGGCTCAATTTCACTCACATCTAAAACCATAAAATTGAAAGATAGAGAATGAATATTATACGGACTACTACTTTTCAAAGATATGGTCCGCTAATTTTGATTTATTTGACACTCTTTGACTTGGTGGAAAAAATTAATATAAGGATTTGGTTAATTAGCTTTTTGTAATTACAGAATGTTAAAATTGAAAAATTACTTAGAACAATTTTTTCAATAAAAGAAATCATACCAAACAGCTAAATGATTTTACCACTAGAAAATGACGCTACTGGCTCTATTACAATGTAGTATTTGTTCATATACTGTCACAGCTAAATGACGCTGGCTCAAACTCATAACCTTCCAAATGGAAGTCCAATCCGGGTACTATTATACCACATAGTCTTGGTATGACTCTTGCATAGTTACATGTATCAAGAGAAAGAGAGAGAGAGACATATATGTAGACAATTCTAAAACATTGATCTAGTATATTAAACAATTGAAAATAAAGAAAAACAAAAGAATGAGTTGTTTTTGTAAATATTACAATTTTTAAAAGTTTATAATATTTATGAAAATAACACACTTCTTTTTTAACTTGAATCGCTATTGATGATTTGAATTTGTTCACAAGTTATTATCTTAAAGAGTTTTTTGTTCTTATAATTAAAAAGTTATTTGTAAAAACTTGAGAAAAGTTAATGGTCATGTTTTGTTATGGTCAAACCGCCAAAAAAAAACCGTTTGGTTAGCAGCGGTTCCAAACCGCTACTTTTGCAAACGCTGCAAAGTGCAGCGTTTGCAATTGACATTTTGGAGAAAATTAAACTTTCTCCAAAACGCCCCCTTTTTATATTTAATTTAAAAAAAAAAAAAAAACTTAAAACTAATTTTGATGGCTCCTCAATGTTGCCCATTTGGGATGGGGAACGAATTTGTGGAGCCTTGAGGCTCCTTAAATAGGAGCCTCAAGGCTCCATTCTCACTTTTCCCACCGATGTGGACAAACCCGCTAATACAATTCGCTATCTGATAACCGCTAACACAACCCGCTACCGCTAATCGCTAACCGCTGATAACCAAACAAGCCCAATGCCAAGGGCTCAAGATAATAGTTATTCCCCTACAAAGAGAATAACCCATTCTTAATAATAGCATTATCGAAATATTAAGGGAAAACAATCAATTAAGTAGGTCGATCTATTTTCAGAAATGTTATTCCCCTACCTAGTGCTATTTTATGAACAAAATCCATGCTTACCATCATCATCATTATTGTTGTTGTCGTCGTCATTACTGTAAATATTTATGTTTATGTTTTGAAAAAAAAAAAAGACTTTCAATAGAAAAATATTGTTCTAATTTTCAAATATCAGAAAATGAAAATATTTTTTGAAAAAAAATTAATTTTTAAATACGTGATTCATTTTTCAAAAAACATTTTTGTGTCTCTAAACAAACCCTAAGTCCTAATTTGATTTCTAAAAATATAAGATTTTAAGAAGTAACGTTTGATTATTAGAAATAATTTTGCAATTAATTTTTTATCAAATTATCAAGAATAGTGAACATTATTTTTTCAAATTCTTAAATATCGTGAAATTATAACAAGTAAAATCGCTTTCTCAAAAAAAAAAAAAAAAAAAAAAACTCAATTGCTTTCTCTCTCATTTTCGGCTGCTCCCACGAAGTAAAGGCCCGACGACTTGGTGTTGCCGGCTGACACTCTAATGGAGGGTTGAGCCGGCGGTGCCATTAGTAGACTTTATCCTCCGATTGTTTAAGGATTAAGTGTTAGATCTCAGATCATTTCCGATTGTTTTTCAGAGAAGGCTTCAGAGACTCTACACATCTTACAGATTTTCTACCATCTTTTCCGTTTATGTTGTTTTCTTTTAGTTCTACGTTATCCCTTTGTTTCTTTGACTATTTGTTTTATCTCGTCTCTCTGGCGAGTGTTTCACACTCATCTCTTTGGCGAGTTTTCCTCTCGTTTCTTTGGCGAGTTCTCCTCATAAGCGTGGAATGATAAAATGGTCTCACCAGAGTGGCTATAGCTCTGTGAAGAAACACCGACTCACCGAGTTCATTTAACAACTTCAACTTTAAGTTTGTAAAACAGTCTGCGATCCAAGTTTTTTATAACATTACTAAAAAATTTGTTTCTATATCTAATTATAAAGAATGCATTGTCATTCAAACGATCTATATTGTAAACATTTCTGCTTATGTTAACCTTTTATTTTCAAATGAAAATATCGTGAAATTATAAATGACAACTGCGCTAAGGTTTTGACTTTTGATGTCATTCTTTTGTTTTTTTTTTTAATCATAAATAATTAATACAAAGTAGAGTTGATTGTCACAATTCACAAAGGAAACTGTTTGTTAGGTTTTTCTGGCCACCAAACACCCCCAAGCCAAGAAAACGCTTCAACACTTCCATGATTCCCTGCAATCCACTGTATTATAAATCCCTACGCCCTTCTTTCGTGTAAGTCCACGTAGACGTCATTTAAACCTTACTGGACAACTATACCCTCTATAAAATAGCACTATTCGGGGCAATTCCGGTCAAATTAATTAGATTGTTGATTTGGTAACAGTTACATATACGACTTTTAGTGAGAGCGACCTATTAATCTTCTTGATTTGAACTGGTTAGCTATGATAACCTAAGAGCATCCACACCAATGAAGAATGCTAAGATATTTCATATTGAATTTTCTCAAGTTGAAGAGCAAAGTTGATGTAGGAATGAAAGATTTGGGAAAGAATTGGTCTGCAACATACAAAATAATGTCAGAAAAGTTTTTTTTTTTTTTTTTTAAAAGAAAAAGAAAATGTTGTGCACGTTTAGCGCACAGCATGGCCACAGCCGGGCGCGTGCACTGCACGCGCCTGGCTGTGCGTACATACACCTTTTTTTATTTTTTATTTTAATTAAAAAAATCCAGCTTTTGGTGTTTTTTTTTTCTTCACCTCCCACATCCTCTTTCCTAATCACTCTTACATTCTCTTCGCATTCTTCCCAATTGATAATGATGCTCTAAGTAGCTAAGTTGATTTATCTCATTGTGATTCTTTGTTAACTATGGTCACAAAAAGGGTTTACTCAATACACACACTCGAATAATAATAACAAATTATGCATTTATAAAGACTATGGTCTGATAATGGACTAATTGTGCGATTAACAATTTACTTCTATGTAGTGATTTTAAGTGCAAGCTCATATGGGCTTGGTCCTCTGAGCTTAAAATTAGTTTGGTAAATACCTAAAATAAAATTAAGAAGATAAACACTATTCATCTCGAAGTGCAACGTGTCGAGACGTTATTGGAAGAGTAGCACGAAGAGAAACGAATGAGTTGTAGGAGATCGGGCGAAGAAATCGAAGCAGAAGCTCGATGCAGCTGAAAGTGAGGCTCTACCATTCTCAATTAAAACGCCGAATTTGAACACTAAAACGAAAGATTTCTGCTTCCATTTCTTGGTGTTTCCGTCCCCAAATTTCTCTGTCTAAAACTACGCCCCTTTGTCCCTCTCTTTATATGCCCTTTTCTTCTTCACTGTAACACTCTGCGCTTCTGCAATCCTCTTCATACACAGCTCGCGTAGAGCATTCAAGAATCGAGAAGAAGGGGAAGAAGAGCAGAAGAAGCTTTTGGGCAAAATGGCTGCTATCGCTCAAGGGATTGGGGCCGTCGCTGCTGTTTCTTCAGCCAATTCTTTTGACTCCAAGAAACCCCGCATCTTTACTCGCAGATCTTTCCCAGGTTTGGGGCTTTTTTCCGATCTCAATTAGTTGTTTTTCATTGAATTCACAATGGGTTTTGATTTGTTTTGTTTAAAGTTGTTATCTTGCTTAGTTTGCAAAATGCTACCTTCGTTTTTGTGTTTATTTTATCAAACTGGAATCTCTGAATTGGCTGTTTATTGTTTGATTCTAATGCATTTAGTTGTCTGTGATTGGTGTAGAGAGGAAAGGCAGGTTTTTTGTGGTTAGCTCTGAAAGAAAATTCAGCTGTGATCTGAGCAGTAATGGGAGAAGAACACAACAGTTAATTGCTAATGCAGTAGCAGTGAGTTTTTTTCTTTTTTTCTTTTTCTTTGATCTTTGCTTTCTATATACATTTTCCATTTCCTTAGTCTTTGAGCAGTCTTGACCTTTATTTACTTGTGCAAATTCATTCCTTTTGTAGACAAAGCAGGATGGTGCAGCAACTTCAACATCCTCTAAGCCGGGGTATGAATTGTGTGATTTGTTAGCTTTTTGCTTACCTTTTCTGGATTGATGAAGTTAATTTTGTGTCAATGTGTATTGGTTAATTATCTGATATTCTGATAATTATAATGTATTTTGCTGTTAACAATATCATTCTGAAATGACATAAAAAAAAGGCTAATCTTCATATAATGGCTTGACCTTTGGTCGTTTTCCCTGCTGTGTTAAGACTTAAGATTATCACTCATCATAGCTCATACAAAGGCCCACTGGAATTGTTATGTACGTCTTGGGGATGGGAATTGTGTGATTTATTAGCTTTTTGGTTATGGATTTAGTTAGGTTGAAGTTGAGGAATATGGCAATAGAATATGATTCTTCAGTTTAGTCAACACGTGCGAGCCAAGAATCCAAGATTCATACTATTCCACATTTAATCTTGCAAGCCACTTATGCTGTGTCTTGTCAAAGGACAAGAGGCTTGCCTATGTTTTGATCTGTTGTATATTAGAATAGGATAAATAGAAAATTGTTCTTCAGTTTAGATGGTGCGTGAGCTAAGTGTCATATTTAAATTTGTATATCTCTTTTGTTGCCCACAAAAGGCGAAATTCCCTCGCCCCCAGGTCCTCAACACCTCGGCCTGACAGGATAATGGAGGGGAAATCACGGTGACTCAACCGTCCATTAGAGTCATATTTAAATTTGTAAATCTCTTATGTTGCCCACAAAAGGCGAAATTCCCTCGCCCCCAGGTCCTCAACACCTCGGCCTGACAAGACAGTGGAGGGGTAAATCATGGTGCCTCAACCGCCATTAGATGGGAGGACCAGTGCCTGGTGCCCACAAGGAGCCATAAATCTATTATGTTGTGTTGTCTTAAAGAAGCATACATAGTTGTTTTTTTTTTTTTTTTTTCACCCTTGTTTCATTAGTCAGTATTCGAGATATTGCTTCAATGGGTAATTGTTTTATGTGCATTATGCTTTTAGATTATCCCCGTTGAGACTTGGATGTTGAATATACGACTAATAAAACTAAATCCCGCATTTTGTAGACATGAACTTTTGCTATTTGAAGCCCTGCGCGAAGGCCTTGAAGAAGAGATGGCGAGAGATCCAAGTGTTTGTATAATGGGTGAAGATGTGGGTCACTATGGAGGTTCATACAAAGTTAGCAAAGGCTTGGCTGAAAAGTACGGAGATCTAAGGGTCCTCGACACCCCGATTGCCGAGAATGCGTTCACTGGCATGGGCATTGGTGCCGCCATGACTGGTCTTCGTCCCGTCATCGAGGGTATGAACATGGGATTTCTCCTTTTGGCTTTTAACCAGATTTCGAACAACTGTGGCATGCTCCATTACACATCTGGCGGCCAATTCAAGATACCGGTCGTAATTCGGGGACCGGGTGGAGTAGGTAGGCAGCTCGGGGCGGAGCATTCGCAGCGTCTCGAGTCATATTTCCAGTCGATCCCCGGGATCCAAATGGTGGCGTGCTCGACCCCGTACAACGCCAAGGGCCTGATGAAGGCTGCCATTAGAAGCGATAACCCCGTGATTCTCTTCGAGCACGTTCTGCTCTACAATCTCAAGGAGAGAATTCCGGACGAAGAATACGTCCTGAATCTCGAAGAGGCCGAGATGGTAAGACAAGGCGAGCACGTCACGATTCTAACCTATTCCCGAATGAGGTATCACGTTATGCAGGCTGTGAAGACCTTGGTGAACAAGGGCTACGACCCTGAAGTTATCGACATCAGGTCACTCAAACCCTTCGACCTTCACACCATCGGGAACTCGGTGAAGAAGACTCACCGGGTGCTCATCGTGGAGGAGTGCATGCGCACCGGAGGAATCGGCGCAAGCTTAACGGCTGCCATCACCGAAAACTTCAACGACTACTTAGACGCCCCCATCGTGTGTTTGTCGTCCCAAGACGTGCCGACTCCATACGCGGGGACATTGGAGAACTGGACCGTCGTCCAACCTGCACAGGTTGTTACTGCGGTCGAACAGCTTTGCCAGTAATTTATTATTAGTAGTAATAACTAATTGATGTTCCATCACTATGCTTGTTATTTCGGGTTGTTATATCATAAATTTGTTTTGTTTTGTTATATCATAATTGATGTTCTTGGAACTTGATTGTTTTGTTACACCAGATTGGTGTTTAGTTTTGTTGTGCATGGAACAATTGAACACAGTTGAATCAGGAATTTTGGATAATTTGTTTGTTTTGTTTTTGTTTTATTTTGCTGTTTTGCGCATTAACATATACCCCATTATTCATTAGGCTTTGCTTATTAGTACAACATAATATAATACCTCATTTACTTTTGGGGTGATAGATGATGGGTAAGAAGGTAAGATTGTATCTTGGCAACTGCCCTGCAATGTCATAGTTTTACCCTTTTGTGTGGGTAACTCTTTGTGGGCATTAGACACTGGTCCTCGTACCTAAGAGGTTTTTAAGTCATGATAATTGTTATACCATGGATCAGGGTTCATATACACATTTTGTACCTACGGTTAATCGTTTTTGTACATGTAAACAAATAACTTGATAATTGCTGACACATAATATGATAGCTACATGTACAGAAACTATCAACTTTACATAACTTGATAATTGCTGACACATAATATGCTAGCTACAGGTACAGAAACTATCAACTGTAGGTACAAAATGTGTCAACTACAAATACAGAATTTAACTTGATAATTACATCAACTACAGGTACAAAATGTGTCACCTATAGATACATAATCTGAAAGTTATTTTTCGGAACAGGACCTACAATGCAAGGTAGACCCTGATCCATGGTATAATTTGCCAAGTCATGGGGTGTGGGCTATATATATAGATTTCAGCTTAAATGCGGCCAGGACTTCTCGTGCGGCCGATGCGAATGCACCATTAGTTTTCTCCTAAAAGTTTATTCTTATATGACCCGTTTCATATATATATGGGGCTATAAACTGGTCAAACTGCCAACTTGGAGGCCCAAACACTTTCTGGGCCCAATAATCCAAGACAAGTACATGTCAAAAATTTGCTCAACCCAAAAGGGAGTATGAGTTGCTTCCATTAGACTTGGGTGTGACCACCATTGGAGCCATTAGCTAGCTAGAGTGCATTAGAAATGCATACACATCGGGAGATGAATATATGTGTAGAGTGGTATGAAATGAAAGGAGAAGTGTTGTCCTTGTCCAAGACACCCTTAAGGCCTCGAAATGGGCATTACTTAAATAGTTTATCCCGTACACACTCTCAAGAAGTGACTTACATTATTTAATTTGCAGAAAAGTTTATCGTTGCAACTGAGAATGCTAGTTAATAAATAGCTCCCGTGAGGCTCAAACTTATAATCTTATGATTAATTACTAAATTAATTGTTCAATCAATTTGATTGGTTAGAATTGCCCTCTCCCCCAAGTGGTTTATTACATGCATTTTGACATGACTTCCATGCATGTGTCGTTAACATGCTACTTAATTTCAAACAATTTGACTATCATGTGAGAAATTCGGCTAAGGTTAGATGGGAATTGATTAAAATGATCAAATGTGAAAGAAAATTGATAGTCATACACCTATATAAAACATTAATAGTTAAAAGATAAAATATGGAAAATATACAATACTGAAGACCAAAAGGAAAAACAATTTGTTATTAGTCTTTTTTAAGTCAGAGTTACGTTTATCTTTTACCAATTTCCCTAAACAACTAATTAATTAGTCAAATCTGAATTGAACTTTATTCATGAGCTAGCAATTCTTCCCAAAAGCGTTATTGTATCCACATGGTTTATTAGACTTCATTTGGCCTGGTTTGAAGAAAGAAAAAAGGTTTTCCAGTACAATTTGGCTTTGTTGCTGCAATAATAGATCAGAATTGTAAATGTGGGTGGGGTGCATGGAAGCTTCCTAGAAGGTGCAACATAGTGTTGGGCGCATGCATTATATTCATCACGTACAAAAATCCAACATATATTATATCTCACAAGGGAATAAACACCTCCTCCCATTCCATTCCCTGCCATAACACAAGACACATACATATGTTATATATTTATTTATTTTTCAAATTTGATTTAAGTACATAATTTGTGTTTATATGTACAAAATTTCACAACACAAGACACGAAAATTTATAACATAAAACATAATTACTAATGATGGTTTTTGGGTTTTCGGACCCAAGGAGGTCCAACACAACCTTTCAGCTGGAGGATACACATTTCACAGAAAGTCTGAATTTCAATGAAATGCGATGCTAATAATACTTTGTATTCCCTTTCTGGGTTCTCTTTTTCTTTTCTCTTTTTCTCCCCCCTTCTTACAAGGGTGGAGGAGCCCTTTTATAGTGGCCCCTCCCTCACTGACTTAAAGGCCCATAATGGCCGACTTCAAGGCTGCTTTCAAGGTGCCGAGCCGTTGAGTTGCGTTACGGGGTCTACCAACGGCTCTTTCTAGCTTGTAACCGGCGGACCGAGTCCGGCCTTTAATGCCTCAACGGCTCCTCGTCTTAACTTCTTCGGAGGCTCCCTCAACGGCTCTCTGCACTGAGTCTTTCCCTGGGTTGGGCCCGGACCGACTCCTCGTCTCCGGCCCATGCTCAGGTTGGGTCGTCCTTCATAGCCCTGGCCTGGGGCTTCCATTTGGGGCCTGGGCCGACTCCTGGACTCGGCCCACGCACTCTCCAGGCCCGCCTTGTGTCAGCCCATCCTTCTCTCTGGTCTTTCCTCTTTGGGCCCTCTTTTCTTGGGCTGGGGTTCTCACCCCATCAACTAGTCCCTCACTTTTCCGCACCCGGTCCACCAACCTGGGTTTGGAAAAGTAGTAACCGTCTCCTTATCCGGCTCACCGTATCCACGCCTTGAATGACTCATGAATAGCCCAGATTATCCGTTATCTCCCGGATCTCGCGGGACCGTTCGAATCTGCTCGACTTGGCCTGGCACCTATAAATGTCCTTAGCTGCTCTTCACCTTACTCACTAACTCCTCATGGGTCGCTCACCATTGAAAGGGAAACGAATTGACTTCGGGTCGCCCTGGCGCCCGTTGCCCTCAAAACGGACTCGGCCCGAAAGGGAACCCAAGAAGAAGGCTCCTCGTCCAGCCCCCCAAAGATCTCCTGTTGGCGCTGCCTCTTCGGCTCTTCGTCCGCCGACTCCTGCTCGACGTGAAGCCGCTCCGTCTTCTCGCCCTTCTCCCCCTCCGGCGACCGCTCGAGTGACTTCCCCGGGTGGAACCGTCGTTGATGTGCCTGTCCCGGAGCAACTGACCTTCCGTATGACCTTCTCCATCCCTCTGGACGACCTGGATGGTCCAATTACGGGGCTGATGAACGAGGAAGATTACGTCCGTTACCAGGAGACGCACCCGGACGATGAAGAACTGATCGTGCCACCACTCATGCCGGCCTTCTGGGACTTGCTTTGCCCATCCTCTCCTGGACCATCGGGAGGGTTCTTTGGGAGCGACTCCTCTTCGCCGGGCGAGTGATCACGTAGGCCGAGGTTGGCCTTATATTCTAGGGGGGTAGTCTTCTAGGAGCATTTGCTTACTCTCGCTGTAATAAGCTCCATGTAACCTACACCTCCTCTTATTATAATAAAACACCCTTTGCATTCTGCTTCTTCTTTCGTATTGTTAGTGCACTCGTCTGCCTGAACGGTTGAGGAGTCGGCCGTCATGTCGAGTCCTCCCTTCGTTTGACACCTGTGAGGCATTCCGCCTCCAAGGGCGAGTCAGGCTTTTCAGTCTAGCGTGCGAATCTCGCCCTTCCCGAGCTAATTTTATGGGATTAATCTCTGACAGAGATTCGCACCGCCCATACGTCAGTTATGATTCCCTCCGTGATTTGCGCCTGGGTTATCGCCCCCTCGAGGCTCTATATAAGGGCTCTTGGTGGTTCTATGTTTCTCATCATTCCTCATTTCAAAACTTCAAGCCATGAGCTTCAGAGACGGTGATCGCCGCTGGTCTATTCGCAACAAGGAGCACGCCCGGCTGGAGGAGCTCTGGCAGAAAAGGGCGGCTAATGGAGGGCACCTGGTGGGCGACTCCACCTCTGACCCTATCGTGGTGCCTCCCGATATGCTTGACCTGATGATCGTAGAACCGGATGACGCCGAGATGGAACCTGTGGTGGAGGACCCGGAACCGGAGGAGGACATAGAGTGGGAGGCTCCTCCGCTTTTTGGCATAGCTATGTCGCCGAGTGCTCTGGAAAGGCCCCTGCGGATGATAGTCGATGGGAAGCCCGCAGTGTATCTGGATGAACTGCCCGAGCCCGAGCCTGAGCCGAGTCCTTTGCCCTTCCGTCCCCACTACTTCCTGGAGGGTCCGCAGCCGGTGCGTCATGCGGAGGAGAAAGAAGCTCAGCCCTAGGCCCGTCTTTTCCTTGTAATGTGTGTGTGGCCGAGTCCTCGGCCTTGTACTCCCTGTTTCATGGAATAAAATCATGTTTTTATGTTCGACTCTTGGTTTCGCATGTCTTTTGGCCGACCCCCGGTTATCATGACCGGCTCTTAGAATTTGTCCGACTGATCCCCTTAGGCGAGGGACTCGCCGAATCCATCGGCCAACCTCGCGACCAGAAACTTGTCCGGGCCCTTCAGTTGGCCGGACCCAGCCGGGTCTTTTCTAGAAACTTCCAGCATGATCTTGGTGGGCCCCCATGGCTTCGGCCTTGATGGGCTTTCGGCTTAGCAGGCCGGGTCACAGCTATCCAGCCTCAGTCTAGGGTAGACGCGCCGCTTGCAGGCTAACCCTAGACCTGAACCGTCGCCCCGTCTATCGAGGCATTAAATGCGGCGTCCTTTCGATGTCTTGTCGCCTCCGATTCCTCCACTGAGGAGGCGCCGCGTGGCGGTTTCCCGGGCTTCCCCTTTCCTTTAAATGGCTCCTCTCCTCTATTCTTCTTCTTCAAGTTTCCACCCAAGCTTCTTTGCTCTTTCATCGTCTTCCCAGCCTCAACTCAGATCTGTAAGTAATGTCTTCCTCCTCTTATTCTTCTTCCGTTATCCGCCGTCTGGAAATGCCGGCAGGCTTCCAGGCGGTGTCTTCTTCTTCTTTTCTAACCCCTCCTTCCTCTGGGGCGGCCACTCCGATGAGCCCAGCCCCGCTAACCACGGTGGCGGCTCTGCCGGACGGCGTCGAACGGCCGCGAGGCAAATTCGACTCGATAATCAGGCCGTCCGGTCTCCCGTCGAGTGCCACGGCAGCGGACCTTGATATGGCCCGTTTTTTGCTTGGCCCTTCGGCCCTGGTTGTCGCGGCGGAGGGTCGGCCCATCCATAACCCGCCGGAGGGTTTTGTGGGCATTCACCTGCATTCGGCTTCCGAGTGCCTCCTCACCCATTTCTTTCACTTCTTTTCCGGCACTATAACCTGGTCCCGGGCCAGTTAGTGCCCAATTCGCACCGCCTTCTTACCAGCTTCATTAACCTCTGCCATTGGTGGCAGTGCGAGCCGGATCTAGACTTGTTCCGGTTCCTCTTTACCGTGAACAAAGTCGGCTCTCACTCGCCTGGCTTCGTTCAAGTCGCCGCCCGTCCGGGGCGGCAACTTTTCGAGGGGTTATCTGACTCGATCAAAGAGTGGAAGCCTCTTTACTTTTTCGTCCGGCCCCGCTCTTCTTCCTTCTCTTTTCCGACCCTGTGGCCGGCGACTCTCTTCAAGCCTTGCTCTCGGCGTGCCGTCTTTCCCGGAAGATGCTGTCCAGGGCGGCGAGTTCTTGAAGAGCCTGGGGCCGTACTCGGTCAAGTATTGGTCCCGGGTCCGGGCCATGGCCAAGCATGGCCTACTGCCGGAGGGCGCGGCCACCATAGGTAGCGTCTTTTCTTTACCCTCGTTCTCAACTCACTCCTACTTCTTTATTTTTTATTTTAACCCGAAGCGCTCACGACGATGCGGTTTTCTTACAGGTCCGTACGATTCTGACTCCTCCAGCTCCGACGAGGCCGTTGTACCGACTCCAGAGATGGCGGACAGGGCTGAAAAGATGAGGCGTCGCTTGATGTAGCGTTCCACCGGTGCCGCCGCCGCTTCTTCCTCTCAGCCGTCGCCGGTGATTCGGCCGGCTCCTCCATCCTCTCACAAGGTGGTCGATCTCACGCCATCGCCCGTGGTGTCGCCCACTCGGCAGCCACCTCCTCATTCGACTGAGAGCCCAAGCTCCAAGCGCCCTGCCGAGCACACGGAGGGGCCGACTCCGAAAAAGATCAAGCTGTGCCACGAGGTGGATGCCGATGCCCAAATCTGGATGGGCGCCACCTCGGTCCGCAAGTGGTGTGCCGACGTTCTCCTGCCTAATGAAGTGGCGGCGACGCAAGCTTTGGGGGACGGGTATATCATCGAGGCCTCGCTTCGCCAATCTTACCGCGTAAGTGTCACTGACTCGGCTCCTATTCTCCGCTCTTTCTTTTCCTTGTCTGACTCGTGACAACTGCGCAGAACCTCACCTTTCAGATGGAGATGGGCAAGCGGCTCCAGAACTTTAGGACCGAGATGCGGTCCATGGTTCTCAAGCTGCGCCAAACAGAGGAGGCTTTCCTGGAAAAGCAGGCGAAGCACCTTAAGATGGTGGAGGTGCACAACTCCGAGTTGCTGAGGATTACCCGTCAATGGGAGGAGGAGAGGGATAAGGTGGCAACGATGGCCGCGACCTCCGTCGAAGATTACAAGAAGTCGGCGGCCTTCGAGACGGATGTGAGAGCGGCGGTGGAGGCCCGGAAGAAAGAGGTGGCCAAGGAGTGGCTGGCGACCCCAGAAGGCGACGAGTTCCTTCTGGATCTGGGCGAACGCGATTACCGCCTTGGTTTCCGCGAGGCGCAGACAGAGATCCACGCCACGTCGCTGGCTCGCGACTCCTCATTCACTCCCGAGGGCTGGGGCCTCAAGCCGGTGTTGGATGCTGAAGGGCCGGCAGCGCCTGCTGATCCGTCGACTCTTCCCACGGCGACGCCCCCAGAGCTTATCGAGTCCTCTCCTCAGGCGGAGGACCCTTCTTCTGTTCCCCTAGCTGGACCAACGGCAGGGGCGCAAGTTGAAGGGGTCGACGTCGACACCCCATCCCCAGTAGCTTAGGGCTTTTTAAGATAGCCCTTTTTTTGTAAAGGCTGGCCTCCTTTTCGGCCTTATTTTAATGAAAAAGCTCTTCCTTCTTTCGCACTTCGTTTTCGAATTCTTTTAATACTGACAAATCTCTAAGGCTTCGAGCCTTTCTCCCTTACCTCCTAATTCTCCCTTGCCGAGTCCTTCAATCGAGGCGACTCCCTAGGCTTTCTCTTGGAAACGACTAAGGGTCTGGGCCCTTGTTTCCTAACTCTTTCTCGGCGAGTCCCTCAGTCGAGGCGACTCTTTAGGCTTTTCCTTTCTCAGAAACGGTTTAGGGTCAATGCCCCGTTGTTTCTATATATACTCGCCGAGTCCCTCAGTCGAGGCGACTCCTTCTGGCTTTTTCTCGGAAACGACTAAGGGTCTGGGTCCTTGTTTCCTAACTCTTTCTCGCCGAGTCCCTCAGTCGAGGCGACTCTTTAGGCTTTTCCTTTCTCAGAAACGGTTTAGGGTCAGTGCCCCGTTGTTTCTATATATACTCGCCGAGTCCCTCAGTCGAGGCGACTCCTTCTGGCTTTTTCTCGGAAACGACTAAGGGTCTGGGCCCTTGTTTCCTAACTCTTTCTCGCCGAGTCCCTCGGTTGAGGCGACTCTTTAGGCTTTTCCTTTCTCAGAAACGGTTTAGGGTCAGTGCCCCGTTGTTTCTATATATACTCGCCGAGTCCCTGGGACGATTAGCTGTAACCCATGTGCTTTATTTAGATTTTTGGAATCCTCGAGCCCATACACGGCCTATCTTTTTCTACTGATAGAACCTTTTCAAATGAGTGACGTTCCATATGCGATCTATGGGTTTGCCTTCCATAGTCTCTAACTTGTAGGTTCCGGCTTGGACCACCGCTGCAATGCGGTATGGCCCCTCCCACTTAACCGCAAACTTGCCTCCTTCGGTGGGCTGACTGGCTTGTCGATCGCGTAACTCGAGGTCGCCAACCTGGAAGGTTCGCGGGTGAGTCCTACGGTCGCGATATCTTTTCACCGCCTGCTGGTACTCAACCATCCGTGCACTCGCGGCTTCCCTCCTTTCCTCTAGGAAATTTTTCTCGATCCGCAGATTCTCTTCGTTCGCTGCATCCGAGTAGGTGCGAACCCGGTGGGTGGGCTCGACCACTTCGACTGGAACCTTAGCCTCGAAGCCATATGCGAGCGAGAACGGGCTCTCCCTCGTCGCTCGCCGCTGGGTAGTGCGATAAGCCCATAGGACTCGGTCAAGCTCGTCCGCCCAATTTCCTCGGATGTCTTCGAGCTTCTTCCGGATCCCATCGACCAACGTTCGATTCACATTCTCGACCTGCCCATTGGCTTGTGGGTACGCCACCGATACCTTGGTATGCTTGATATCGTGTCGGCGGCAGAAGTCAGCGAAGGCCTGGCAGTCAAACTGTCGCCCGTTGTCGCTGACGATGTGCTCGGGCAGGCCGAAGCGACAGATCACCTTTTTCCACAGAAAACGTCGACATTGGTACTCGGTGATGGTAGCCAATGGTTCTGCCTCGACCCATTTGGTGAAGTAGTCTATAGCCACGACACAACACTTCAGACCTCCCCGGGCGACGGGCAATGGTCCCAACAAGTCTATTCCCCACTTGGCGAAGGGGATGGCAGTGGTGACCGGTGTATAAAAGGTGGCCGGCCGGGTGTCTTTCCTGGCGAATGCTTGGCAAACGCCGCACTTGGACATCCATTCGATACAGTCTCGCATCATGGTCGGCCAGTAATACCCTTAAACGACTAACTTTCGGGCGAGCGTGTGGGCGCCCTGGTGCGCGGCGCAAATGCCTCTATGAGCTTCGTCCATTATTTTCTCGGCCTCAGGTCTAAGCAGGCACTTTAGCAAGGGTCCTCCGAACGACTGTTTATATAGCTGCCCGTCGATGATCTGGAAGGAAGGGGCTTTCCGCCGAACTCTAGCGGCGACTCCTTGGTCACTTGGTAACTCGCCCGTCTCCTTGAATCTCCGGATTTCT